AACCCTGACCTTGTTCATGTTTAGTTCTTTCTTCATAGTGAGAAGTTGCTTCATCTAACAATGAGAGAGGAGAAGCGCATAGTTTCAAGAAACTCTCAGGTCAGCAGCAGATTTTTTTTTTTTTACACCAGATTTAGCTAGAAGATTGGAGGGTTTGGGTAAGAACTTTGCAATGTGGCATATTAATTACATTTTGTGCTCAGATTGTATTGCTTGTGAAAAAAAAATTATATATATATACAAATAGATTGGAAATAACCAAGACAAGATTTTTATTCAGTGCATTAGATAACACAAATATAGCTTGAACTGCTCCAGCTTGTTTTTATGGTTTAGTTGCACTCGGATTTACAATTAATTGCCCAGCCTTACATCTGGCAGATGGCTAATACATAATACAATAATGCTCACTCCAAAACCAGTTGAAACCCACTGCACTTATCAGTCAAAATCCATTAAATTAAGCTACAGCTACACTATCCATATAGAATATCACTACAGTAAAAGTAACAAAGGTGTATACAATGCAGCCACTAAAACTTCATAATGGAGCTGTAAACATGCCGGGCACTGATACACTTAAAACATCCTGTTCTCATAGCTCCATACCTATAGCTCACTGGGTAATTTAGCACATTTACCTAGAGCAGGACCCCTCCCCGGGACCCCCTGTCCAGCTCTTTCACTGCTATTGTTGGATATTGATGGCTTTGACCTTGAGGAAATCCCCTGTAGTGTTAGTATGGAGTCTGTCAGTCTGATGAGCTAACGCTAACCTAAACACAGCTAATTAGCCAATCTCCCGCCTCGGGCCCAGAGTGACAACTGCTTGTTCTCACCTCTGTGCTGTTTGGGACTGGGACACCACTGAGGGTGACACTGGGGCAGAATGTTGGGAGCAGACAGGCCTTCCTCTCTCCACTCTGGTTACTGGTGTCTTGGGCTGCTTTTAAAGGGAACCCCCTGCAGAGACAGGACCTGTTTCCAAACAAATGTGTAGCCAAAAAGAGTTTATCTATAGGACAAGTGTGAGAACAGGTCATGCAGTTTGGCCTTGCTAGTTTGTATCAATATGATGTAAGACTTGACAAGTTAGAAATTATGGGAAAGTATGACACTGAAAACAAGCTTACTCCTTGAGAGATATTTAAAGTAAACTTTCAAAAGTTTAAAGTTATTACTGAAAATCCCATAGTCCATGATACATCTCCATGGAGACAAGAAGGTGACACAACAAGATCATAAGTAACAGGTCAGTCTGTGGAGAGCTGAAACCCTCACAGTAATGCATGTTTTTCAAGGTGTAGAATATTCCAGGTAAAGCAATAACATCTCTATGCAGACAAGCAGGTGGCAGAAATGTTACATTAAAAAAAATCCAGGCCACATAAGTTTTTATTTTTTTATTTTTTATAATTTAGTCACAAATCATCATGTCTTGGATGCTGCGGCGGAGGTTCCCATGTTTTGATTCCCTGTTGCAACAAAGCAGTTTGATTAAACAAAGAGTTTATTTAGGCTTCAGGACTATAACCTTGAGACCTTTCAGCTTGCACACAATTCATGTTGTGATGCTGCTTTATATTGTCCATTGTCCTGTTCCCTCGGCCTCACCCTGAGTTACCCCATAACACATGCTCCAGGCGGTTACTGGAAGAAACAGAGCACCCAAACTGCTTTGTGTTGTCCCAATAGAAGAGACTTGGACAGGACTTAGACCCTCCATGGGGGTGTTGGGGCTTTGTAAGAAGAACAACTGCGTGAATACAAAGCGTGTCTAAAACCTGGCTGTAAAAACTGAAAGTCTGAACGGCAACTGGCACAAGGGACTATGTTACTGATGTAGACCACGCATTTTTTATTTCATTTGAGTAAGAGGCCTTGGTGGGAAATTTGATTACTAGCATTTGCATGTCTAATCTGTAAAGTATAAAAAGATGGATCCAGGGCTTGGCTGTTTTAAAAGCTTTTGGAATAGAGTAGTAGACACAGCTGGGCTTGAATAGAAGAAGCGATCAACTAGAAGTACTTAAGCAGTACAAAATAAATCCCAAATTCACAAGATATATGTAAAAATCTACCCAACAAGAACAATAACCAAACAACATTCACAGTACTTTAACATTTTGTGTTTGACTTGTGAATTAAAGACAAAAATACAAGTGAATACAGAGCTATAGGGGGTTGGCAAAAACACACATTTTCTGAGAACCACAGCCTTTAATACAAGACAATACACTATAAAAAACATATTGCATGTGTCAGTTTTAGTTTTATAGTCCTATATTATGCAAAATTGAGATTTAAGCCATGTTAGAATGTTGACACCCTACCCAAAAAATACCCTGATTTCGTATTTTGTTTCATTCACACGCATTTGAGTAATCCTTATTACTATTATTACAGATTATTAATAGTGTGTCTGCATCTCCAAAGCTCAGAATGCTCTGTTCCACCTAGTGATGTCACGAAGGTGTATTTTTCAAGTTAGCAGCTCCTTTTATCATTAAAGTTTAGTAGAAATTGGAAATTCCAGAGCTGAAATGATCCAGATGATTCTAGTGACAGTGTTTAGAGCACATCCATTTTCTGTTTGAGAGAAGAACTCAGCCTAAATAAAATGGATTTTTGTGTTAAACATGTGAATGAAATAAAACACAACTCTGGGTATGTTTTTGACAAGGAAACATTATAACATAGATCAGAAAATAGCATAATATGGGCCCTTAAATAAGCAATATCAATCTAATCTAATCTAATTTACTCTATTAATGTCACTACTAAGCACCTGCTCATACTGCACTGGTCTGACCACAGTGCAGCCTGATGCCTGCCTCTTGTGGACATTTTCCTCTCTTTGTTAACACCATGTCCCGAGCTGTTTCCTGCCAAATGAAGGAGGCGTGTTTCCAATTATAGTCGTGATGCAGAGCGTGGTGTACTTTCTCTATAGGCAAGAGGAATTATGGGAACAAGCTTTGATTTCCCCCAAACCCACTAGAGACCAGTGCTGTGTGGCCATATATCACAGGTGTATGGCCGGTAGCTGCCACTCCAACTTCAACTCCAACAGCTTTATGCAAAAGGTCACAGTAATCGAAACAGGTTAGAATAATAATTAACGGCTTTCATGCTACTTTTTTCAATAGACATCTAAAATATTACACTATTCTTACACATTTCCAAGCAGTTAACAGTAAACTTCTAATGATTATTCTTGGCATGAAATGAAGCGTGTCCTATTAAAGTGAAAAATATTTGACCTTCTCCACACAATAATCCAGATCTCAAAAGGCAGAAATCTCAGATAAAACTTCTGTATTGGCGCCAAAGCTTTGAAAATAATTGAATATGTAAAGATTTTATGTGTTATTTTAAGTGCAAAAAAATATAATACAGATAAAAGACAAAAAAATTAACTCCCCCCCCCCCCAAGAAAGGTTAACTTAACTCAAATTTATACAGAGGATAGTACTCCCTATCTTGCTTTTCTAAAATTACGCCAAAGCAGACATCTATATTTTTCTAGCAATGCAGTTTAGGGGCCACTTGAGGTGAATGGCACCTTCAGAAACAGAACAATATTTAGTCTGCAAATAAGCACACGGTCTGGCATTGATGCTTACAGCAATGAATACGAGGCTCCACACTTAATTATTAAACAATTTTAAATCAGGCTTAGGGTTATTTTTCACTTGTGCAGTTTGATTATTGGAAACAAGAGGAAATCCTTGTAGACAGGAAGGTTTCTCTTTTGTATAATAAAGATTGTAAATAATGTGCCAAAACAATCAGGAATGTGGTGAACAATAAGAGCACAAAATAAGCCCATGACAAATGTGTGGTCACCGGGACCTGGCATTAAAAAGGCCTTCCTCATCGCTCTATCAGGAAAACTTCAGGGAGTTAACGGCCTCAGCCCGCTGCTCATGGGGTGATGCAAACGCAATGGTATCCAAGTTTGCATACTACAAGCCTTACTGGTCACTTCTATGACACTTTCCTATATATTGTTTTTGCCTAATGAGTCAAAGAAAAGCAGCCAAAAGTGCATAAAGACAGGATATTGTACTGAATTTAAAAGCCAAATCACTTGGGGAGGTGCAGAGCCAAGGTCAATGCAATATTGTTGATCATAGGAAGTGTGTCTTGTTATTAACAATGCCAAAAACAAACAGAGGTGGGTCTAGATTGGACTGTGTGGAGCAGTGTACAAGTGGGGCTTTCCTAAGGCAGTTCTCCTGAGCCCTAAAGACATGAAAGACGCGCTTATGGCTGCCAAAAATCTGGCCAATTCACAAAGAACAAAAACCTACAATACCTTTGTGTGCTCTCAATTGTGTCACAAAGTCATAGATTTGGCTACCTCAGATTTAAGATACAAGCCTCATGGCAGGCAATTAATAAAACACAACCTGTAAATGTTACAGAAGCCCTGTGCAAGTTTTAAGGTGTAGGAATGCCAATATTGTGGAACTTTTAAGACAAAGCAACAACATCTCCACAAAGAAAAGAAAAGTTACTGTACTTTTAAGATGTTGCAGAACGGACATCGAACATGGCACTAATATGGCAAAGGCCGTGCCTAGTCGGTCTATTTCCGGTTCTATGAAATGAAGAACTAACAGGAAGCCTACTGTATGTTGTGATATGATATAAATTCTTCAACCTGAATAAGGTAAGAAAAAATCTGCATTGCACGTCTGATTGCTGTTCTTTTAATGACAGAAATCTTCTTGAAACTTGACATTTGGTTGGTGTATAGTGACACCTGGTGTTGTAAAAGAGTCATTGCAGGTGTATTGCAGAAATTACTTATCAACTAGTAGTCACTTCATTTGGATGATTTTTTAAACTTTATATAGTTAAGAGCATGTGCAACCTTTAACAGATTTCTTTACTTTGTTAAGTTGTAGCCAGTGCATTAAATTATTACACTTAGACAATGTGTAAAAAAACAAGCCCAGGTATTCAGTAAATAAATTATAAACAACAAAAAGTTTAAATAAAAACAATCATGATTTTAATCTTCCAAATACTTTCTCAAATCCCTCCAGGTCAACAATACTTCCATAATAAGTGGAAAAGTAAAACGTCTTTGGGCTGCTGTACATCTTCAGTCTGAGTATTGTCTCACTAGTGGCATCTCCTGTATCCGCAATAGTCATGACATCTGACACGGGGAGGAACAGGTCACTGCGCTTCCCCCAAAACGTTAGATGGGAAACTTTAAGAATGGTCCGTGAGGGGTCTAGATACATCATCCCAACCACCCTTCTGAAGAAATAACTGGCAGTGTACAGCATGACCCCAGCAAAACCAGCTATACCTGTGGAGTAAGCCACAAGGAACAAAGACAAATCCCCCTGTAGGTAGAAGTAGTAGACAGGGGGTAAAATGAAAACAGTGATTCCAGTTTGGAGCAGTTTGAGTCTAGACACGGCCCTAAGAAGCTTGATTTGTGGCAGCCTATAGATCATTGTATAAGGTTGTGTAGAATTTTTGGAGTATTTGGCCGTTGTTGTGAATTGAGCTGTAGATGGTGAAAAAGCATGGATACCACAGGACATCCAAGCTCGGCCAGAGCAGGGTCCTCTGGGGCAGGCCCACAGGTGGAATGGCAGTTTCTTGAGCATCAGTGACCTCATCTGGAAGAAGGTGCAAACTTGTGTGACAAAAAGGCAAAGACAAAAAGGCAAATTCTGACGTTATCAGCTCAAAACTGCAAGGCAAGTCATGAAGTATTTTGAAGGTTGAGGGTCATAGGTTGTATACTATAATAAAATGTAAAATATAATAAATAATATATGTATAACAAATGTAAAATACACAAATATTTAGCTCAATGTGTCTATTCTAATAGCAAGTAGCAATATGCCCAACTAAACCAACATCATAAACAAATATCATTACAGTTAGTTACAGCTAGATATCAACTGCAGTTACGGAAAAGGGCAAAAATGCAAAAAGGATGATCATGTTCTACACATACAATTTTAAATGGTTATACATAAAAATGAACTGCAAATGCTAACCTTTAATAGATCCATGATACTAACATGCTCACTTTGATCCGGAAGTGTAACACAAGGTCAATTTAAACTAGTTGGTTTGTTTTGCTTTAGCGCCGTCTTGTGGCGAAGGGCAACGACAATCAAACAAGTATTTATCACAAAATGTAATTACAGACAGAGCCTTTTCAGCACATAATTTTTATTTTAACCGTGCTCATATGAAAGAGTGGGAATACAGCTGTGGTGTCAGCAATTATGGCACGAGGCTCCTGAAATGTTTGTTCAGCAGTTTCACTTCTGATTTTCGTAAACAGGCGAGACGCGTCACTCAACAAGGAGCGAGTCGTTATGGCTCGATATCTGATCACTAAGAGGTTGGACTTTCCAACAGATCGTCATATGGCAAGCTAACATCATCGCCGGCTAAACTAGAATAGACTTGGCAGGTAGCAGGCAGCAGCTGGCTCTCTGACCGGGGTAACATGCTGCAGCTGGGAGATGAGGTGACCCTATACTCGGTCATCTTCGTGGTTGTCCTGCTTGGGACTCGGAGCGCGGTGTGGACCTCCGCGCTCACGGTGTCCGTGTACGTGTTTGTGGCTGTGTTTCGGTTCCCTCAGGTGCCAGCTGACAAAGCCAGGCAAGTTCTGCATCCGCCCAGGGACGAATATGGGACGAACAAAGTGTCAGCCATCGCTCATCGGGGTGGAGGGCACGACGCGCCTGAGAACACCATTGCGGCGATAAGAGAGGTACACTCGGGATGGGTTTGCCGGGGAGTGTGGGTTAACTGTAGGGAATAGTTTACGTGGCCAGACTGGCTGTTCAGGCAAGTCATTATTGAGATTAGCAATGACTTTGGTAATCTGTGTTAAAGGTTGTATTAAGACAACATGACTTGTTGGCTTCAATAGTAAAAGGGGGGCCACACCTGTGTCCTCATTAATCACACTTAATTACTTGAATTATCGAATTGCATTTTAATAACAGACAATAAACTGTTTGTTCTCTGTCTACTATTAATTGTATAGGGTTATAATGTACTAGGCATATTTCTACTATGTTATACCTCCACTTTGCAGTACTCACTAATGCAGGGGTGGGGGTGTCCAAACTTTATTCACTGAGGGCCGCATATTGAAACATTTTCAAAGTGGAGGACCACAGACTAGTGGCCAATACATAAGGTTGGTCTGATGGGTGGTATTTAACATAGCTTTGATAAAGCTACCATACCTTATGATAAAGCTTGAATGTATTCCAATACAATCTGATGCTATTGATGTATTAGTGGTAGAGTTACTTAAATTTACAGCAAAAAGTTCTGGCTATAATCAGTTGGGCCAATTCAGCAGGAGGCCAACAAAATTGATCCTGAGTGTTGCATTTGGCCCCTGGGCCATAGTTTGGACACCCGTGCACTACAGTGACTTTGTGCTCATGTCTGTCCCAGGCCAGTAAGAATGGTGCAACGGGGGTGGAGTTGGACTTGGAGTTTTCAGCTGATGGTGTCCCGATCCTGATGCACGATGACACCGTTGACCGAACCACCAATGGGTCAGGATCACTCACAAAGAGCAGCTTCTCTGATCTAAGGAAGTTGGATGCTGCTGCTAAACACAGACTCAGGTGAACGAGACATTAAACAATTGTGTAAAAATGTATGTGAAACAAGCAAATGAATGTGAAAAATAAATAAAAATTGACTGTTTGAGAATTGTCTATTTGATTCCCACAGTTTGCTGAATGTCTCTTCTTACTCTTCAGCCCCCATGTCATCGTGTGAAAAATGCTAAAGCTCTTAAATAATCTAATAAATGGAAAATGTTTTGTCTCTGAAAGGAACAAGTTTTCTGGAGAGAAGATCCCGACACTTGAAGAAGCTGTTGAAGAGTGCATCAAACTTCAGCTCACCATTTACTTCGATGTTAAAGGCCACCCCGATGAGGTGTGTACTGTGCCCTTTTCGTTGATTGTATCTACATGGTTGTATTATTGGAGAGGCAAGTAGCTGTAAAGAGCATGTGTTGTTAATATTTAATATTTCTGTACTTTGGACAACAAATTGTATCTCCTAATAACACACATTTGAGTTACTATTTTTAAAATGCACAATGGCCTCTTTAGTATTTCATCTTCTTAGTTTCTGTTGGATCTCTGATCTCTTTGGGTTTTTGTTTGTTATTTCATTTTGTGGTATGTGTGAGTGTTGGACCCACTGGGGCCTCCAGCTGTGACAAAGATTATGAACCCAAAAGAAGTTACAAATATTTAGCTGTGTCTTTTGTTCACACACAGGCTGCTGCTGCTCTAAAGGCATTATACAAGAAGAACCCAATTCTCTACAACACCAGCATTGTCTGCTCCTTTGAGCCCAAAGTTATCTATAGGGTGAATTGATTGGATGAACTCATACATGCATTTTAAAGTTTTATGGATTATTTTTGACTGGTCATGACCTGTCTGTGTGAATGAACTGTCCCAGATGAGGCAGAGCGATCCTGACGTAGTCACTGCTCTGACACACCGACCCTGGAGCCTGAGTTGTTACGGAGACGGGGCACCACGGTTCCTGTCTCTATGGAAACACTACTGGATGACCCTCATGGACATGGTGTTGGACTGGGCCCTCCATCACGTGCTGTGGAAGTTTTGTGGAGTCTCAGCTTTCCTTATTCAGAAGAACTATGTATCACCGTGAGTTACTGAAATTTGCACTTTATTTTAGTGAGTTTATAAAAGTTTGTAATTTTTAGAACTAAATAACTGGGCTGTGCATCAGAGGGATGTTTTAAGAGCTTCTGCAGCACTCTGGACAAAAGACTAGGTTAAAAAATACACATACTGAGTTTCATAATAGGTGTGTCTGTGTACGTATTGTTTCAGGTCTTTAAACTGTGTCTTTGCATCTCTGTTAATTGAAGGCTGGACCATTTTGCCGTGTTCACTTTTATACAGTTGTTTGTTCATAGATTCATAGTACTGTATATTATTAAACTAAATTAATCATTAATCAAATCAGTGTAAATTTAATGGAAGAAATGCAGGTCCTGAAGAGTTTTTTTATTTTTTATTAAATGTTTTAATATTTTTCTTTTCTGTCTGTCTGTCAGGGAGTATGTGCAGTACTGGGCCCATAGAGGTGTGGAGGTGGTGGCCTGGACAGTCAACACCAAAGTAGAGAAACAGTATTACCAAGAGTTTCTTAACGTCAACTACATCACAGACAGTCTGGTGGAGGACTGTGAACAACACTACTGACTTCTAAACACTACAATAACTTCCTTAAGTACTCTATTTTTACATTTATTTGATCAAGTAAAGCTGCAGATGTTGTTTATGTACAATATTATCATGTTTATTACGGGGTGCCATTTAAGGTTATACTCATTATTTGTACAAAGATCTGTATGAATAGAAAGTAAGCATGTGTCAGTGTAATGTACTGTAATTTCCAACTCAGGACTGTAATATTTGTGCAATTGTGAATTATTTCCCCTAAAGGTCTACTTAGATTTCCTAGTCTTAAAGATTCTGAAATAAATAGAGCAATATTCCTTTTTATAAATTAACACTTAATATTGTAACTTAAGCAAATATACTTTTAATTGTTTTATCGTAGCTATTGCATTATATAATGTGTAATTTTGGTCAGTAAAATCTCATATTCTTGAATTAGAAATAATTTCATTTAATCATATTTTTGGCATGACTCCAGCTACTGGTAGGTTGTTCTCCTTCACACATGTCCCCTGTAAAACAAACTACAGGTGACTTCACAAAAACGTATATAAATGCATTGTTTGACGCCGTGGTTGACCTATAGTACAGCTGAATGGGGATAATCAGGAAGTGTAGTGGTGTTGGATATCACTGGGATAAGCCTGTCTGAGCTGCTCCTGCCTTGATCAGCTAGTGTAGAGGCGCGCTCAGGTGTAACTCTGTGTGCTGTTCTTTGATCATTTAACACACTCTTTACCTGAGGCTCTTTTGAGTTTTCCCGCCTCTGTAAACAGCCTTATCTGAACGTTAAGTTTAATAGGTGAAAGGTTGGTTGGGGGGGGGGTTTGGGGGGGCTAGACAAGCCCTTTCCGGCTAGACAAGCCGGAAATTGAATCTAGAAAATAAAATGCTTTGAGGACAGTGTGAAATAACATACTGGCCAATTTGGTCTACAGTAGGAAAAAAACACTACCTCGTCTCTTATCCTACAGCATCCTTTTACAATTATAACACTTCAAATCCACGCCTTCAGCTATTCCCTTGCAAAGGGAATATTTTTAATCAATCAAATGTATGAAATGTATAAAACAGAATTCAGGTTAACATTGTCTGGCTCGATGTTTGGTGTCAAATACAACTCATATATAGTTCTATTAATAAAGTCTACTGACGGTCTAAGACTATCAACTTTTGCTCAAAATTGAATATTATTATATACATATTAGTATAGTAGACACATTTTCACCTATCAGTCATATGGCCGGTAACCAATTTTATACTGAAAGGTTACCCGGAAACGCACAGTTAAGTCACAATGGCTTAACAGATCCCAAACGTGGTCGCATTGCGCGCTGATGTAAATATCCAAGTGTCCTTATTATCTGTCAGAGAACTGTGCCGTGGACAGTCAAGCCTCGGCAGCAGCAGCGGTGGAGCGACCTGCAGCCAGTCACACGGGGCACATTACGCACATCTCGTCCCGCAGCATATGGAGAAGCAGCCGCTGGAACTTTCTCCTTGGATGACCTCCACGATCCTGTGACCGTGGCTTGAGAACTGACTGACACCTGTTGTTAAGAGGACGACCTGAAAACACCACTGGTTAAGTCTAAGCCCCTGTTTTTGCAGGCTGCAGGGCGAGTTGGGGACACGTCTTTACGTCGTTTGGCTGCGTGAGTAGTGGCGAGGCGCAGACTGGACAGCGAGTTGTTGACAGCTGAAAATTGCACTGACAACCATTCAAGCTTATATGAATTAAGTTTTCTATATTGCTGGCGTTCACATGATGTACACAATCACCAGAGGTCCCAGTAAACTTGTTACACAACGAAGGACAGGTGAGCATTGCGCATATTATCTAAATGCGTAATGATGCAACGTATCGTCATTTTTCCCTTTTTTGGATTTCTGTGCTTTTTAATGTGTGCTATGGACCAAATCGTAAGTAAATTGGACGCTTTTGTTTTAAAGGTCCTACTCAACAGATCGAGAGCAAGTTCAGCGACTTGAAACTTAAGCCCACGTCTTGGTTGACCTCAAAGTAAGTAACGTGCCGATGTTTGGGTTTGGTAATTCTTGTGTTTTGTAAATACTAAGACCAACGCCAGAGCAAGCAGCACCCATGGGCCCAAAATACTTCACACGTGCCCCTGTTCCTACATGCGATCAGGTATCGGGGACTTTGAAAACACCTCTGCTTCGCACACAAGAGTTATTTCTGCATGATGATCCATACACGATGGTGAAATAATGAACTGCCGAGTCATATAAGTTAATATGTTTAGTTTTCTCCACACTGCCAAAAGGGCCTATGGAATAAAGTGCCGTCAATGCACTGATCCTTGCAACACATTGTAAGTGTAACATAAGTACAATCTTTTAGTCCTGGGGTAAATGCTTTTTGGAACTGCAGCCACACCTCAAACACAAAGGTAACTTTTCCTTTGGAAGCTCAATCACCTGTCTGTTTTCCTCTTGCTTTGTTTACAATGTTCCACAGTATGGCATTAAACTAATATATCTTACATTCAATTAAAAGCTGCTGTTATTGCTTAAAAACTGCATTACTGTGAGCAGACTCTCTTCACAGTTCTGAGCTGTGGCATGAGATGATGTTACTTTGGAACATTCTTTGCAAAGCAATAACATCTCCATTGAGAAAAGTAAGTGGCAAAACCTCCACCAGAAAAGTTACATACTGCCTCTGTAATGCCTATATGGTCTTTTCTTTTTTGGCTCATTACCAAGGATTCACGTAAACTAGATTATTAAAATGTTCCTATTATTACATCAAAGTTTTTGCAGAGCTTTTTATAAAATGAGATTTTAACGGCGCTTTGTTTGTGCAGCTCTCCTCCTCCAAAGATCGTGTTTCATCGCATCAATGGGAAGCGTTACAATGGAGCAGCTCCACACACCAGTCCGTCCGAAAGCTTCACGCCTGCACACGAGGAGAATGTCAAATTTGTATTTGAAGGTGAAGCAAACTGCACACAAGCAAATGAAGAACTGAATATATCAATAAATTAATGTTAGACAAATGTAATGCCATGCTGTGGAACATAAGCCAAGCACAAATGCATCACATGATCAAAATGTATTCAATTGAATTAGCAATAGTTACAATAGTATATAAATTGCACAAATATTTGTTTTATGACCTGATATTCTGTTCAGACAAGACTAAGAACCTCCTGGAATTTCTGGTGCCCTCCAAGTTGGGAACCAGTGGTCTTTGTTAGTCTTGGGCTGTGGCCAGTGACGAGCTTCTCTGTGCAGTCCTTATGTGATTCTTAAGCCTAGTTGCATCACACGTGTTAAGTTAATTTAATTACAACAAAACAAATTAAAAGATGCAAAGTAAATGTTCATGCATTTCACAAACCCGTCAACAGAGCCACAACCTTGAGTCTTATTACAGGGCAGAGCTGATAAACGTCTCAGGACTATTTTTAGTAACACATTTTAGTTTGTCTGAAATTAATTTTACTTTTCTGCAGCGTGGCAAGAAGTGGAGCAAAAACTTGAAACCAGTGCTGACGTGACAGACAGCAAAGGCCCTGTCCAGTATGCCGAGAAGACCCCAAGTGCTGCAATGAAGAGTGAGTCAACATCACAACAACATACACTTAACTCGGTCTGATAAAAAGTATTCACAATGTTACCCCAATTACCCCAGTACCATGAATTCTTCCTAGACTTTTTTCAGGTAATCCTCTCATCTAGGACAGTTCTAATTCTGGCTCCTCAGACCAGTACTTTCTTAATAGTGGCTTCCGGATGCCACCTGAAATGTCTTAATTTTTGAATACCTTTTGAAACCTTTGCTACCACGGACCACTCCTCGATGACTGAGGGGCTACATCAACTAGGTTCAACTATTAGGGGAAGCTTTTATCAACATTTGATATCACAATTGGTAGTAAGCAGTTTAGATAGTATCACAATAGAATTTTTAATTTTTAATTTTTGGATTGTGACAAATCATACAACGGAAATTTTGCCATTAGTTTGCCATTTTTCCCATGTTCATTAAATGTTTGACTAAAGGCACAGCACAGGCTGACCGGCTATGCAGTAACTAATGTCAATGACTGTTTCAGAAAGATAATGTTACAAAAAAGTGGTTGACAAAATTATTGGTTACCATTTGGCTGATTCACCCACAGCAAGCTTTTGAATTTTCAATAAAATTAAAAATTTTCCAAACTGGGAAAAATGAAAGGGGAATTTCACTTCAGAGAGGTGAACAATATGTTTGTTTATGCAGATTTTATGGCACTGTGAAAGATAAAGTACCCATTGTTGGTTTCCTGTTGAACCTTGGTTTACAAATCAGATGTGTTTATTGTTATTGTTAAGTTCAGTAGTTAAATAAAGTTGAATGATTATCAGGCGTGGCTGTATTTGTAACTGGAGGGCAACTGTTGTAAACGTTTAATCTTTCATTAAACAATGTTGGTTTGTACCTGTCTGAACCAGTCTAGAAAGTCAAGCCAGGCTCAATTCATTCAAGGATAAAAGTACATAGTTTTATTCCCATCAGAAAATTATCTGGATTATTGCAACTTTACCCAGGTCTTATTGGTAAGACTCATATAACAATGAGTGCAAATTCTTGTCAAGCTATTTGGAGGTTTCTTAAACTAATTTACTTTATAACTTGTGTCTTGCAATTGGGCCATCTTTTTTTTTCTAATCCCAATAAATATATAGATAATATCATTCCAATGCATCAGACATGTGCTAAAACTTAAATTGAGGTTCCAGTATTGCACATAAGTGACAGGATAGTAAAATAAGTGGTGTATGGTCTTGTGTGAAAGATTATACTGCAAGTTTCTGTCAAATAGTTTTGAGTTTTCATAAAAGACTAAATAGCAAAATGCAAAAAGAACTGTAACTTTGATATTATCTTGTTGTAACTGCTGTTGTTGTCTCTGCAGATTTTGTGCCCATTGACCTAGAGGAGTGGTGGGCCCAGCGCTTCCTGGCTAACATTGCTAACCTATCCTGATTGCACATGAGCACTGTGCAGCGAAGGTGGTCCCAAGCTAAAGCTACAGCGGGTGGTCTTCATCACAGACAGACGGCGTCTATGGATGAATGTAGAAGCCTAATGTAGTGAAGATACAGAGGAGACAGGGCCAGCAGCACATACTGCCTCTCCACTGAACTGATCTGAAGTACTGCCATGCATTACTCTCACTTGAATGATGTACTAACATGCCTCCTGTTTCAGCTGTTTGCATTTCTTTGCTGATCTTTAGATAAATATTTTGAAAAGCAAAAAAGTAAAAGTGTTTTTCAAGATTTTGTCTGAATCTTTTTTACATCATATATTTACAAGGTGTATGCAACATGCTTATCTTTAAAAAAAAATCTTACAAGGTCAAAATTGAAACATTTATTTTACAGTCATGCATAAATGTATCTGTATAAATATAAAACACATTATTAATTACAAACATAAAAAAAATATTTTGCTAACATGAGTGTAAAAATGTCCAAGTTAATAAAATGTCAAAGGGCAGCTAAAGTGGCTTTTTTCCTCCTCACTCCTCCCTCTCCTGCTGCCTTCGTCTTTTTGACCCTCCTCCGGCTGGGGACAGACTGGCCCAGTTTGGCTGTGGTGAAGGTGATGCACTGAGAGTCCAGGTAGTCTGCCAGTTTAGTGACACCGAGACGAATCCCTGCAGCCTTCAGCTGCTGCTGGAGCTGAGACAGGACCAGGGGTTTGTACTGCAGGATCTGGTCATAGAGTGAAGAATCTGACAAAATGAATGTGCGGACTGCCTGGAGTTGGCTCTGCAGACGAGAGGCAGACTGAGAGGCAGAGATGCCCCCATCACTGTCTGAGTCCCCATCAGACAACTGTACAACTTCAGGGTTTGACCTGTAGAAACAGAGTACATGTTAGGACTGAATATATAAGGCATTGAATAACTGTTGTATTTATAACTGTGCAGTGTAGGGTAGTAAAATAATATCTGCAATAGGTAGAAATTTAAATTTTTTATTTTTTTTTTGAGACAGGGACAGTGCACATTTTTTACATTAACCTTAATAGGAGAGATACATTGTACCAGGTTGTAGCATCAGTGCTAATTTCCACCTGGGCAGATTCTTTGATTGATGCATGTGTGTGTGCGCATGTGTGTGTGTATGTGTGTGCGTATGTGTGTGTGTGTGTGTGCGTATGTGTGTGTATGTGTGTGTGTATGTGTGTGTGTATGTGTGTGTATGTGTGTGTATGTGTGTGTGTGTGTGTATGGTGTGTGTATGGGTGTGTGTGTGTGTGTATGGGTGTATGTGTGTGTGTATGTGTGTGTGTGTGTGGGTGTATGTGTGTGTGTGTATGTGTGTGTGTGTGTGTGTATGTGTGTGTGTGTATATGTATATATGTGTGTATATATATATATATATATATATATATATATATATATATATATATATATATATATATATATATATATATATATATATATATATATATATATACATGTACCTATCTGATTCTGCAGTGGAGGAGGTAGTGGAGTCCTGAGAAGCAGACAGAGGCTCATCGTCCTGGGGCACTTTAATGGGCGACGTGGTGGTCATTGTAGTTTTGGGCTTTTTAAACTTGGCCATGGCACAGGAGGCCGGTCTGACAGTTGCTGAGACTGGGGCTTTGGCTAGAGCTGTTTTTCCAGCAGAGGGCACCTCATCCTCAGAATCAGAACTGACCAGCTGGTGGGTGTACTGGTGGATTTCCTTTAGTTTTAAAACCATTTGGCGTTTTGGTAAAGGCCGAACTCCAAACCTAAAAACATTCACACAAAGCATAAGGCATTTACATGAGACAGATGGTGGAAACAGAGCAGGGCCAGACCGACTAATCTGGCAGAGGCTGTGGAGGAGGTGATTAGATTGTCTCCTCAATGATTAAAAGGCTGTTTCTTTAATGTGAATGGCTACTTACTTGTTCAATTTGTTCTTGAGCTCTGGTGTGTCCATGTCTGAGTAATGTGGCATTGGAGTAATTGGGACCAGGGCCTGCTGCTTTTTGAATTTAGATACTAAACAAATATAACAAAATAAAGAACATATAACCATGACAGATTGATGCTATAATTCCAAATGATAAATATGTGAGCAACATTGGCACTTACCTGGAGTCTTGTATTGTACTGGAGGTTTCAGTCTCTCAGACAGGGGTGGGGCTACGTCCTTCTCTTCATCTTCTTCCTCCCAACTGTCCCAGATTTTAGAGTCCATGAGGCTGTTGTTGATGTCCGGAGGTGGTTCAATTTCAGGTGGTGACATTGCAGTAGGTGTTTTCGTTGACATTGTGTTTGGGGATTCAAAAATACTTGTCCGTGCATTATACTGATAATCAGGGGCCATAGATGTGGTTGAGTGGTGGTTTGGTTGTGATTTGATATTCTTCAGGCTGTCCTGCTGCTGCACAGACTCTTCACTGTTGTCAAGTTTGAGGCTAAAACTGGGATTTTCAGCACATGCATCCAGACCCCATGAGTCATCGAAAGCCATTGGAGGCTCATCCAAAAAGCTTTGCCTAAAACTTGGTTCACCACCTTCAGCCTCAAAACAATCTTCATCATTTTCTGCCAAACTTGCATTCTCATTTTCCCTGTTGGTTGTATTGCAGTCTTCTGATGATCTGCTTTTATTGCTAGACTTACTGTTTATCTTGCAGTGTGAAGAGGAGGACTGTTCAGACAAAGGAGATAGGTGAAAGCCCTGCACCTCTGCTTTCTCTGGACTAGGTGAGTTCCTTACTGTAGTATTTTGTGTCAAAACTGGTGGTAGCTTTGATATTTCAGTTTGTACAGGTGTGCTACTATAGGCCGGGATGGAAAAATTGAGATGCGAGCAAGAGTTGTTTCCATGGTGAGAATACCTGGATGGACTTTGAGGCACAGCAAAACCAGAAGAGTCCAACTTTTTGTCATTTGTCACATCTAAACAGCTTTTTCTGTCCCTTGTCTCAGAACTGGAAATTGAGCTTTTGGACATTGATTCTGCGTGTTTTGGGAAAAGTTGAGTTCTACAAATGCTGCTTTTGGTTTGAGAAGAACTGGTGTGGACACTCCTTTCGGGCTGGATTGGTGTTGAGGGGATAAGCCAGGATAACTCTGCAGAACAATCTACCACGCTTATCTCACCATTGGGAGGCTGGCGGTCCATTTTGTCTGTGTTAAGATCCTTTGAATTAGGTGTATTTTGGTCTTTAATACTGGTGAAGGTATTTACGTGTTGTGGTGAAGGGCTGTTTGAACTCTGAGTAAGATCTATGTTCATGTCATCACTGGAGTCAGACAAAACAACTAACTCTGGTTCTTTGTCTTTGAAAGATTTTTGAGAGGGTAATAGCATAAAAATGGCTGAGACATTTTTATTATTTACAATTTCATTTTCATTCAATCCAGGAGACACACCTGGGATAGGCATGTTTTGTGCGGTAGGTGGAGGACTTGGGGACAGCTTGTCAATCACACTCGCTGAGGACTGAAGCAATGTTCTGGCTGACATTTCAGATGAGAGAAGACAAGCAGACAGAGGGACCTGCATCCGAGACTTATGTTCAGGTAAAATGGAGGGCTCTTTTTCCTCAAACTGACCCCAGGTTTCGGAGAAAAGACGGTTATAGCTGCGATCTAAACTGGTATTAACATGCCCATTGTTTTCTTTTATGGCTTCTGTTTTGGTTGGACTTAGAGATATTTCAGGATGACCTTGATTATCAACCACTTTTTCCTCCTCCACACTGTCCCTTTCCTCTTCCCTCTTTTTCTGAGTGGCAGCAAACTCATATATTTCTACCAGTTCATCTTCGTTCACTCGTTCCTCTTGGATTTCTCTGTCACTAGGCCGGTTGTCCATCTCTTTACTGTCATCAAAAGTATTATGGTCTGTCCCATCATCTTCATTGTCCTCCTCATTCCACATAGAGTGCAGTAGCTCAATAAAAGCCTCATCTGTTTGAGTGTTTGGGTTCTCACTGTCTTCGCTTTGAAACATTGCCTGTTCTTGAAGCTGGCAAAACTCCACAAGATCTTTCAAATCAAACCTGGAAATAGAGGCAAATAGGTAAATTACCAAAAACAACAGCACACCACTATCCACCCAGAGCATTTCCTTTTACTTTGGAGTAGATGGCAACAGAATATGATTTTTTTTAATGTTATGGTTACAGTGACAATAATCATTCACAGTTATTGACACCATGACCAAACATCAGTGAAATCCTTAAATTTTGTTTGTCTAATAGATACCCATTCCTACAGTATGTGACCAGTTTAATGAAATCAAACTTTCTGAATGATAAAGTCACGGAAGAAGAAAGATTTTACATTTATTTTTTGCCACTTGCAATTGTTATGGCTTTCCTGAATTTCAGTTTGCTAAACTGCCTGATTATTAACTGGTAATAAAATGTAATCAGATAAATAAACTAATAAATCCCCTTTAATTAAATAAAAAAATGAGACCTGGATGCCAACTCTAGGACATAAGGACATAGTGACGAGGGAAAGGAGCAGTGGGCAGTGTAAAGAAACTGCAGCAAAGCAAACACCGCCTGTCCTGGGATGTCATTCAACAGCACCCTCTGAGCAGCAGGCACACCCTCCTCCTGCACCCCAAAACCACTCTCATGGATCTGGAAAGAGAAATCATTGAATATTATCATTATCTAGCAATTATATGGGAAAATGTTTTAATTTTACATTATATCAAATAGTGAAGTATCAATTGTTTACCATCTCAGCCAGCAGGGGGCAGCGAACATACACCATAAAAGAATGAGCAAAGTAGACTTCGCCACTGTCCACTTGTAGCTGCACATCACTGAGCTGAGGATTGTTCACCATGGTGCCCAAGTCTAAAGCTAGTTTAGACACGAGTAGCTAAATTTAAAAAGTACAACAAAAACATCAGATTTTTTTTTTTTTTTTTTTTTAACAAAAACAAATATGTTTTTTTAGCTGGTCTTCTTACAGATTGCCGTCTTCTCTCCTTTTCTTCTTGCTTCGACACAATTCTCATCAGCCCTTTATGATTATTGTCCAGTGTTTCAGGTAAGAATCCACTCACACCATCATTATTCTGCTCCTCCTCCATCACAAATCCACTTGAATGTAAGTTTAAGGTGTGATTTGTGCTGGTTTGCTGGTCTATGATGAACACACATTTTGATTAAAATATAGGCAAGTACTAGCAGTATGATCCAGAAATCAGAAACTGTGAAAAGTCTAATCAAAAAATTTAAGTGATGACAGTGCTTGGAACCCATGCAAGTGAGAAATCTTGTAAATACTTCTCTCAGTCCAATAACTGTTTTTACATTTATGCAAAAATAAATTCTATAAATATCACTACTGACAAACAAAATATCATTAAATGAATAGAATTGATTATTCTGTTGACACTGTTGTCTAAATTTTAATGAGTCACAAAGGTGGGCTAAAAAGAATCAAGATATATTTTAATTTTTGATTACCTTTTGTGAATTCTGTGGTAGAGAAGCCATATTGTGTCAGTGTCATCCCATCTTCAGCCAACTCCATGAGGTCTTGAAGGGCCTGGCTGCACCCAGGCAGCTGCCCTGTGCCTGGGGTGGAGACAGCAAGAGAAGAGTGCCCTGTCTGAGAGGCAGGTGTTAGGGTGGAGACTATAGGAGTCTTTATTTTCAGATGCTGCACTGGAGTGTCTATCTTTTTTCCACTTGCAAATGATGACACAACAGTCTAGAAAAGACAAAAAATAAAACAATGAAAATATCTAAATATTACATATTACAAGACTACTCACCATTGCTGTTTCCTGGGGTACAATGAAGTCTCTGAGTTCAGGAGCATAAAAATCAGATAGGCAAAAAACTGAGAGCAATGCACTTTTCTGCCAAAGGGGGGCGGCACCACCCCAGCCAGGCAAAGTGGATGTGCAACGGGTGGGAGTCGGAGGAGAGGGGGCACCATTGCAGAGCAAGAGAGCAGAGACACGTGCCTGTATCCTGGACAGAGCTGCCCCTGGGTCCTGAACCATGAGCAGAGGAGGGGGCCGAGGGATTCCACCTTTTCTCTTTTTACTACGTCCTTTACCTACAAAGGGAAATATTCAAGTTCAAAGTCAAATAGAGCACACAGACAAAAATGTCTACAGCATTTATTAGAGATTATATAGGGAAAAACACAGATGGCTTCACTTCATAAATTGATAAATTAAGTTATAAAAACCTGAACACCAATAATGTATAGATTTGTAAAAGAACGTAAAATTTCTATTCAATTTCAACTACTCAAATAATAGATAAGATACCAGCATTTGGTATCCACTTCAGAGGTGGACTCTTGGATGTGCTGGGGGCAGTTGTCTCTATGAGGCTTTGGCTCTCAGCTTGTGATTCCTTTTGCTTCTCTTGCTCTTGTTCCAGCAGTGACGAGGACAAGGCCATGGCCATCATCGTGTCTTCATCCAGATCTTCAACCTTCTTCCTGGGCTTCTTACTTTCTGGCATGTTTGCCTTGAATACTTTTCGTTTTTGGCCTGTAGTCTGTGGACTGTAGATGGAATACAATGGTGTTTATTTAAGTTAACATACACACATATTAACGTATAAGCAGGAGCTCCAGGTGGGGTGGCAGTGGCACATACTTTGTGGTTGTGTTGCTTTGATTTTCCTCAGCCTGCCTCTGCAGAGCCTGCATGAGCACTGCAGGAGGGACGCCCATATCTGATGAGCAACGTTTCAAATGTGATGCCCGACTTTTTTGTAACTTGAACCTTTTTCCACAAATGGGACATTCCATGACTCCAGGGGGTGGTGGAGGTGCTGCATGATCCTCTCTTTCATCTAAACATCTGTAAAACAAAAAGAATGTATACTTTAGTAATGATGCTGGGGCATCCTGTCAGAAGCAGTGAGCTGCTTCCATACAGCACTCAGGACCACCTTAGCTGAAACATTTTACCTATTGTGACAAACAACTGGAGTTCCCAAATGAAACCCACCAAGGCACAGGAAGAAACATGCAAAAACAGATATGAAAGTCTCTTTTCAATTGTCATTCTAACCACTGAGCCGCTGCCATCCTAACAGGCATGTCACAGTTCTTCATTAACTTAATGTTACAGTTTATGAGAGATGAATTATTTATAATATTTTAGATTCAGTATTTATTGTGTGTATCCTTTATTTGCACTATTGGGGAACATTTGATTTTTTTTATTGTATTTTTTTTAACAAAGTACGTCACAATAATTTCTTGAGGAATATATTGAACTTTAAAATATGTTACTGTGATGTGAATTGTGTCTTGTACCAGTCAGTGAGTCAGTGATGGGTGCAAAACAAGTGAAGAATGCAATGTTAACTGTGTCTTCCCCTCTGAGAGCCAGAAAAGAGCTACATAACACATATTATTTATTATTATTCTATTATTCATATAGCAAAAGGAACCCAATTCCAAGAACAGAATTTTATACCTGTTAATGTGTTGCGTGCGTCCCTCAGGTGTCATGTGTGAAAGGTCCTTGTTGCAGAGTTGACAAAAGAACAGCCCCTCATCCTCCAGGTGCATGGGGCGGGTCTCTCTGTCCAACTCCTCCTGCAGACGCATTGCCAAAGCTTCATCACTGTCTTCAGGTTCACGGAGGGCTGCGCTTTGAGAGTCTACTTGACCTTAGTACACATCCACACAAGCGCTCCGTCAAAGAATAGAGCTCTAGTCATCTGTACTATACATAGATGAACAAAGTGAAATTAAATACCTTGCTGAATTTGGTTGTGCCTCTCCCGCTCTGTGGGTTGACTCTTGCCTCCTAACATCAGCCTTTGTGGACTTGATCTTTTGAATTTCTGCATCTTGTGCACCACCTGATCTTTAGCCCTTACCCAAGACTGTCCCGGGGCAGACCCTGGACCAACATTCTGTGCACCTCCGACAGCAGAAGAACCTCGAGGCTCCGTGTTATCATCTTTCTTGAGTTTCTTTTTTCTCTTTTCTCCTCCTCCAGAAGTTTGGCTGCTGAGCGGCTGTGTACATTTCTTTGGCTCTTGCTGATCCACTGTTTTCTTGCGGTTCCTTTTGAGCAGCTTGGAGCAAAGATCTACAAAATCCTGATCCGAGTCATCCATATTATTATCTTATTTTTTCACATACCTACAGATTGTCGAAAGATGGTCTTAGGTAGCCTTTAAACAGTTAGCCATGCTAACATTCACCCAGTTATTGGTCTAGCCTACTTGTTTTGAAAACATAACCCGTGGTTAGTGTGCTAGTCAACTGTTGCATAAAACATAAATTTGATCTGACCGCTTAAGACTATAAAATCTGCAATTAAAAGACCCGTAGGTTTTTGTTTTCATTTTAAAAGAATAACATTCAACTAAACCGCTCCATGTTGTTGTTCCGGTCACGTGGATACAGTTATTCCTTCCGGTCACATGACTTTTTTTTTTTATCCTGACTGTTTACACAACAGACCATTCTGCTACGCATTTTCTTACATCTTACCAATACTAACCAAATAACTCTTTAATAATGTCTTGGGGTGAGAAGCCTACTCGTTTTCGTAGATATTCCTAATTTCGCACCCCTTGACGTACATGTACGAGTTGTTTGTGCATACCGCTACTCCCATTAGGCAGAAACGTACCGTAATAACTAATAGCGACCAGATTTTCAATATCAGAAACTGGGACACCCCCGAGTTGGTCGTGGCTGGTAATAATAAAATTGTGAAACAAGTGCGTAATTACAGAAAACTCCTATGCACTTGGCCCAATAATAACTTAATTCACGATAACATGTGAATCAGTATAGTCATATTTTCTTTGTGTTTTCCATAATTTTACCTAAACAAACAAAATCTAGACAATGTATGTATCTTGTTCCTGTTGGCAGATATCAAATTTGTCATAAACACCTGTGATATTTCTAGTATAAAAATCACTTGATTTTTGGATACATCAGCTGGAACAGGGGACCCAGGGCTCAAAACTGGACATGTCCCGGGGAAATACGGACGACTGGTCACCCTAATCTATCAAGTGTTCATACCCAACTTAGTTGTTGTTGAATGGGGTTTGGTAAAATTAATTCAACGTTACTAACATAATTGTCTTATAACCTTACTTACCAAATCTGCCCAATTATAAAATAACAATGCACTATTAAATCAAAATGAATGTTAACTTACAATGTGCGTGCAAATACATGGCTTTAATCCAATTTGTAGGATCCAAAGAAACAGTACCGAGTTGCAACAAATGGAAAACAAAACCAAAAGGATGGGTAATATCTCATTATTATTCACTCAACAGAGTACTGGAGTTCTTCTGTTGCACACAGTTTATTTAACAATATGGTATATAAGTAAGAAATGAGTCTTTTACCAGTTTGTACAGCGATTTCATTCTCTCTTCCTTATATAGTATTTTAATAACTTGATTTACAATAGGAGAAAAAGGTAATCCCCAAATTCAAGTTTTTGTGTGAGGGGAATGACTGTTGACATTTAGTTTTCCTTGTGATGAATCTCAAATGTGCCCTTCATCTCTATACATGTGTAAAATTTAGAAGATGGGGGTCATTTAAGATGTAGCATATAGACAACCAGCAATCATTCCTCCTCAGATCAGGGGGCTAGTCTTTTTCTCACACTCTCTTTACACTTTACAACATCTGTATGACAAGAAAGTATGACAAACGTTTTTACACCCGCAAAGACAGATTTTTTTTTTTTTTTTTTTCAAATAACAGGCCACTGAGATGGCAGTCCTTGTTTTCTGAAACCAATTTTAGAGACTGAGGGTTTGTGTCAGGGTCTTCATGTGCACCTGCGTGCATGCTTGTGTATTCACAACCTGCAGCAGTCCGTTTCCTATATAATTACACCAGAGTGCTCTTCATACACAAAAGAGAAAGGGAGCGGTTTGTCCCTGAACGCATCATTTGGACTAATGGGTACAACACTAGATAACAACAAACAAAACCCTGGCCCAACTCCCTGACAAAAAAAATATTTTACAGTTGCAACACAAAATGCTTTAAGGTCTTTCTCCAAAGGTACAAAATAAAAGATATGAATATAATAATGCAATTGTACATTTTCTTTAATAAAAGAAACAAGAAGGCATGGAACCATACCAAAAACAAACCAAAACTAAGTTGAATATTGAACACATTTGGTCTCAACCAAAAATATATTCTTTATGATTTATTTTTATTTAAGAAGCAACTTGCAAATCCCTCAACATTTTAAGGAAGAAAACCCCAAAGAACAGGGTATAGGAAACAATTATATCCCCAAGAAGTGTTTAATTATTTTTTGACCAAATTGTCTTTATACAGAGGAAACTTTATACATGTCAGTACAAAAACGTTCTCTGTCTTAGAAAGAACAAACAAAGCCCTCTAACAAGTTGGGAATCCAGAAAAACAGGACGGGAGGTCAGTCCAAAGGAGGGATACTGTTCAATATGTTCCCATCACAGATGCTACAATCCCTCAACAAACTTCTCTAGAGTGTCCCCTGTAGCATCTCCCCCTATCCCCAATTCACTGTTCAATCCTCCTCTGTTCGGTGTGTTTAACTGTGGTAGCATGGCGCTCTGTTCTGGAGTCCCCAAATGTCCCTGCTCCATAGATGCAGACAGAGGGCCCCCTAAGCCGGGGTGCGGCGAGCCAGTGTGAGGCGGAGGTGGGTGCTGTGGAGAGGGCTGGGGCTGCACCTGTGGGGAGGGACTGGAATGTGGCGGGAGCTGTGGCTGTTGGGGCGGCTGTGAGGGTGGACAGGGGGACTGGACTGGGGCAGGGGACCGTACCTGGTTGCCAATAGCACTGGTAAGTGCAGGCTGTCCAGGAAGGTGAGGGCCGCCCTGTGCCTGTCCTGCCAACAGGTGAGTCTGCGGGCTCATGGGGCTGGGCTGAGCGGGAGAGCCCATCTGCTGTTTGAGCACAGCTTGCTGCTGCGGGGGGAGCTGCTGCTGCTGCTGCTGCTGGAGCATTCGTTGGTGCAGTAGATTCTGGGTGGAGTCCATAGCCATGCCAGGCTGGCCCATTTGGTTCATTGGTGACAGTTGGCTCATAGGTCCCCCTGGTGCCCCTCCCCCGGGTTGCATGGTGATCTGCTGTTGCTGCTGCTGCTGCTGCATGCGGAGCTGGGAGTAGGTGGCAGTGGAGCCAGGGGCTTGAGCGGGGAACTGGGTGTGGCCTTGGGGCATCACACCCTGCTGCTGCTGTTGTTGCTGTTGCTGCTGCTGCTGCTGTTGTCTGAGCAGCTGTCTCCGGTACATCTCCTGAAACTGAGGGTTGTTACTATGCTGCATTCATGAGCTGGCCTTGGGGTCCCAGGGATGCCATACCCTGAGCAGTAGGCTGCTGAGGGGGCATACCCGGCCTCTGAACAGCTCCCCCTTGCATTGTCATGGCTTGCATCCCCCCCATCTGCTGCTGCTGCTGCTGCTGCTGCTGAGGCTGGCCTGTCTGCTGCTGGGGTTGGTTGGCATGGTACTTTGCTGTCCGCTGCTTAATGAAGGCAGCCATAAGCTGAGGGTTTGACTTTAGGATGTTAAGAACCTGCTGCTGTTGCTGTGGGGAGCTGGGAGACTTCAGAGTCCGGAGCAGATCCTGCAGAGCATTGGGTGCTATTGCCCCAGGCCTCTGAGGTGCCTGTGGCCGGGCTCCAGGCTGTTGAGAGATTATCATCCTCTGCCCTGGTTGAGGTTGCTGTCCAGGGGGCATCATAGGCCGTGGCATGGCCATGGTTTGCTGTGGACTTTGTCCTGGGACTAGACCTGGCTGCTGGGGCTGAGAGGTCTGCAGAGGGCCTGTTGCCCCAGGCCACTGCCCTGGAGCCATGTTGGACTGCATGACCTGTGGGGGTCCTCGAGGCCCAGGGACCATCTGCATGGGGGGCTGCATTGGGCCAGTCATGCGTTGTTGGGGAGGCGGGTTCATGGGCAGCCCGTTGATGTTGACCCTGTAGTTCTGTTGGTTCTGCTGGGCCTGTGCGATGATCTCTATGTGTCGTGCCATTTTGACGGCAGCCAGTGGCGGCTGCTGGGCCATCTGCTGCTGTGGCTGAGGGGGCTGGGGCAGAGGAGACTGCTGCTGCTGCAGAGGAGAGGCCTGAGGGCCAGGTTTCCCTTGAGACACCTGAGACTGAGGCTGTCCATTGCGCGGAGCATTAGGATACGAGGGAGACATCACACCCACAGAGTTTGGAGTCTGTGGCTGATTGGACGGGGGCTGCTGTGGAGTCTGAGGAGTAGTGGGCTGTGCATGACCAGTGGGTGTATTGGGAGCAGCTGATGCAGGTGGAGAGGGTAGTGGCATGGTCCTACCCTGCATGGTGGCCATTCTTCTCCTCATCATCTGGGCCTGTTGAAGCCTATGCTGCAGCTGCTGCTGGCGAAGCTTGTGTTTGATATTCAAACAGAAAGGGACAGGACACTTGTTTTCCTGACAGTGCTTTGCATGGTAACAGCACAGAGCAATGAGCTGTTTGCAAACAGGGCAGCCACCATTGGTTTTGCGTTTGCACCCTTTGGTGTGCTGGACCACACGCTTCATCTTCTGGCAGGAAGGAAGTGAGCAGTTGGCATTGCGACACTGACAGGCGTGGACCAAGGACTGGATGCAGCGTTGAATGCTCAGGCGCCGGCTCTCCTGGGGGCTCTTGGAGGGCTCCCCGCTCTGACTGTTGTTGTCGTCGTCCAGACCAAGACCCCACTTGACCATTTGATGCTCGTGGCCCTTTGAGTTGTAACAGTTGATGCACAAATCAAAGTCCTGAGCAAGAAAAATACAAAAATATGGTCATTTTGATCCCACAAAATAGTGCATGATACAAAGCAACAAGACAAGACACTGTGCTTACTTCACAAACGGTGCAGTGCCAGCGAGTCTCCACATGATGTTTGCATTCATTACATGTGTAGACAAAGCGGTCCTGGCCCTGGTTATGCAGCTCGACGAGCATGCACATCGTGCTCCACTTGCACCTTCTGAGAGAGCTGAACTCCCAGTGTTTGTCTCTAGCTAAAGTGAGGAACGCATCTCGCCCATCCATCAGGTCACAGGAAAGCAGAGGGTCCGGATCCACGAGAGGGGGCAGAGTGTTGATCATTGGAGCAGAGTGGAGGTGGATCACAAAGAAAACCTGCAATGGTTTAAAGGAGATATACACTGTACATTAGAGAGACAGACAAAATGAAAAGAAATACACCTTACACCAAAAAGCAACTCTGACCTCTTTGTGCTTCTCCATGGTTGCATACAGTTTCTGGGACAAATCGTTAGCTACGTTTGGCATCCCCGGTTTCTTCTTGTTTGCTCGGCTTACGCTGCTCTTGTTTTTGTTGGTCTTTTTATTGTTCTTTTTCTTTGCGTTTTTGCTGTCCCCTGGAGTCCCCTGTGAGTGAATGTTTGTTTAGTGACTTCAGTAAGACAATACAGTGTACACAATAGGGTTTCTAAATCTTGTAGTCTATAATTTCACTGTGTAAATGTCCGCTTGGCTCACCATAGACTGTGCAACAGTTACAATTTTATTATCAGCGCTAGAAATACCTATGAGAGACTGACCTCCATGACATGTATCTCCACAATTCAGATTGAACCAAATGGGAACAAAGAATGTGAACACCAGAAATATAGACTAAATTTCCAATAAAAGTTATTTTTATAAGAATTATTAAATGTAATAAAATTAACAGTAATAATAATGCTTTTTTCTAGACGCTCAAAGTTGCTTTACAATTCTGTGCATTATTCATTCACTCCATACTTGGAGGTGGTAATTGAAGCCATAGCAGCCCTGGGGCAGACTGACTGAAGCAAGGCGCACACGCACGCGCACATGCACACGTACACACACGCACCACTTGCCTAAGGACACAACAACAGTTTTTGCCACTGTTGCCCAACAGTGGCACCTGGTATTTCCATGGGTCTCCCATCCAAGTAATAACCAGACCCATTCCTGCTTCGCTTTTAAGATCTTACGTGATCAGAGGCTAGTTAATTTCCCTTAAACTGCCAACATTTCATAATAATTGTACTTTTTCACACAGATGTCAGGCAGCGTGATAAACATCCAGTAATGAGTCTGAGTTTAAGTGTAGAGCAGCTCAACAAACTCTACAGTAAAATTTGAGACTGACTGTGCTGTAGTTGACTGACCTCAGGAGTTTCAGAGGCTGCGGTGTTCTCCTCTTTTTTCCTCTCCTCCTCTTCCTGCTCCAGCTCCTTAATACTTTCCTCCAACACGTTAGGCCAAAAGTCACCCTCAAAGTAAGGCAGCTCATTGGCGCTTGTTAAACGGTCCTCGGTTGCCTGTTTGAAGATGTCCTACACACCACACAAAATAATTATTCTATTGTTTTACTGTCATTTTAACTTGTTTTTATTGTTTTATCCATTTGAACCTTACCTTGTAGTCATGTATAATCCTCTCTGCAAATGCCTTGTCTAACATTTTTCGATACCACTCCTGAAGTCTTTTGGGCTTGGGGATCTTCTGGTCAGGAGGGTGACAATGGAAGATGTAGTCATCTCCTTCACTGGGTGGACAGGCCCAGATGTGCCCCTGAGCATAACTGTGGGGGTAAAGAAAAAAACATAAAATTTTTGGTTTGATAAATTGAAAACATGGTATTAATTAGGAGCGAATATATACCCTAGTTTCTTGACATATTCTAAATAGCCAATAAGGATCTCATGGTAGACAGCTGTTCGTAAAACACGAGGTCTGAAGAAATGAATACTGTCAAGGTATGATATGTACACACGTCTGCAGGAAAGAGGAAACAAAACATTTAAATGTTAACAGTAACGTACAAGAATATGGCACACATAATAAATATAGAATCAAAGAACTGACCTAGTGTTTGGAAATGCACATTCAGAGCCATACTCCTGTACATGCATGCCAAAAAAGCACACATCAACACCATCAATCTCCTCAAAGGCGAAAAGTGCTTTGGTTCTGTAGGGAAAGGTTTCAGGCATTTCTCCTGTATCAACGAACCTGGTAAAATCGAAGTAATCAGAAATTATGGTCAGCCAATTTTGTAAAATTTCTGTTTCACCTTTTATATGGTATGGTATGCTTTTTGTTTGTACAAGGACAGTGAACAACAATACATTAACCAAGACAGAAGTGACAAGAAAGATGCTGCTGCCAGGTTACAGCATGGATGCAAATTTAGACCTGTAGTCGCTGAGCAGGTTGGTAGTTATAGATGATTTCATTCAAAATTTTGAAAACCTAAATATATTCCCATGGGTCTTACTATGCCTGTAACGAAAATCAAAAAAATAAATTAATCGCATGATAACTTTTCCGGCTGCGATATTTTCTATTTCCTGTTTGTTTTCCTTGACTCTCACTCTCTACCAAAGAGACTGAATGTCAAAAGGCTTCTAACGCTCTCTACTGACTCCTCTCGTTTCCTTAGCGTAATGATGCTTGAAAAAAATGTGCCAGCGTAGATCCATGGTCAGCAAAGACTATATGGTCAATGGCATAGATGGATTATTTGTTCATCAACACAGTGGATGCGCAAAGAGCCTGAGTGCAGAACGCACCACTGTCTGTGCGGGTAACATGAAGCCGCAATGTTAGCATTGTTGTCAGAGCACCAAAACAGTTCATCGCCATGGGACAAAACAAGTCACGATGCCGAATCAACACTAGTGAGTGGGATACGTCTCAACGGCCCACATGCGCCAAATGCAGCGAGCGGGCAAATGACAAGAAGAAATGGCTCACACCCCAGCAGCCGACATAAACCCATACTGGATCGAAACAACTAGCCTAGCCCCGGGGAGAGCCCGAAATCCGCTGAAATCCCACAAGACACCGACACGATACCAGACAGGACAGCAGCTCCCTCATAGCGAAATAGGATCATGTAGAGTGGGTGAATACGAACACTTCAAGACCAAAATGATGAGGCTTACAGCAACAGCCACAGAGAGAGGGGTCATAATAGTCCAATGTAAATCAATGAATAACTTTTAAAAGGCAATTTTGTTGCAGAGACTTAATTCATTTTATTATTGTTTTCAACTGTATTTTTTGTGAACAAGTCTTTTTAGCTGTTAGCAAGACTACATTAGGCTATTCTTATGTTAACAACTTTAGGCCTATTGTTTTTGGTTGTCTGGATTGTCTGTGTCTTAAATGTTCTTTAGGAAGTAAAGTTTATTTGTTTATTGATCTTTGAAAAAGTATATTTTCATTTTTATTCCATTGTCATTATATTAGTTGAAATTGATCTCAAAATGTCAATATTATCATTTATCGTAATAATTTCTTGGTCAATTAATCATTCAGTAAAATCTGTTATTGTTACAGCCCTAGGTTTTACCTTGATTTCATGCCTGGTTTGACTTCTACCGTTTTGTCAGAGCTCGCCACCACTCGCACAAACACCTCTCCGGCCTCTGGGTGGTTCTGTCTTTTCAAGTATTTATTCACACGATCCTCTATGAAAGTTCCCAGTCGAGTGGACTGAAGTCCTGCAAGAAACATTGATAGAAACATGAGAAAGCTGAAAGCTTCAGATATGACCACAAAAAGATCTGAACCTACGTTTGGCAGTAAACTTGTTCTCTTTGCGTGTTTTTCCACTTTTCTTTGAACAGTTGTCACAGATAAATCTAAAACAAAAACTAGCATTTAGCATATTTTTTATTCCATCCTCCTTTAAGTTTAGTCCAATGACTTACCCAGAAGGCCAGATGACTTCATAGTGTAAAACGCATATCTGATGCATCTTCCGCCCACAGTCTTTACATTCAACAAACCTTTGACCAAAAATATACAATAAGAATACATATAAATGCTCATGAGTAGAGGTGGTTCGTTTACAAATATTATAATAATATGAGTCTTAAAAGCTGAAGTAGCATCAAAAATGTGTTAGTTTCAGTTTCTTTCCAACTGCTCTCATTCTTTGGAAATTACACATAGAAATTTAGCTTGACTATGGTCATAAGGCAGATGACAGATAAGAGTTTAGAAAGTGCAGAATAAGAATCATAAAACAAGGACAGATGGAGAAAACTCAGCAGGACAAAAAGTAAAAGTATTTGTGCAGTGTTACTTACGGTTCAGGGTCTAGAACATCATTCTTTTTTCTTTCAAACTGGTCTTTTGAAATCATTCTGAAATGAGGAAAGTGTTAGAATGGATTAACTGAAACATGTTCTATTAATTTTGTTTAACTAACTTGGCTTCCATTTTCTTTTACTGTTTAACAATTAACTTACGTCTGAGGCTGAGCAGGATCATCACCCAATGTGACACTCTCTCCCTGGATTTCATTAAAGCACTTTTCACAGAAATGGTACCTGGTATAAAAGATTATTGAATTTGGAATTACAAACCTGGTTTTCAGTGTTCCAAAATAACATTACTTGCATTTACAAAGTTTGTACAGCAGGGGGTGCAAAGGAACACGTTTAGATCTGTCAGTAACAAGTATTAGCAGGAGGCATTCTATTGTCGGATGAATAACTAAAGATAAGACAATAAATATGTTGATAAATGAAAATTATTATCCAAATTATACATCTTACAATACTGCAATTGTTCTAAATTTCATTCCCCCTGAAGCACATTCACATTGTGATTTACATCCACAAGTGATCTGAGGTTGGTAGAACTGAGCTCCCTAAAAAGAGCAGTGAAAAACACAGTGGACAGTGCCAGTTCTATATACTTACTGTTACTGTACTGGAAACACAGAAAAAGTACTGGTAGACATTCTAAACCAGGCAGAAACAAGCCAACACACAGACTCACGTACCTGTTCTGGTAACTGTAGTATGTGCCTCCAGTCGGTATTGTGCAAAGCTGTTTCCCGTAGCAACACAGCGTTTGAGGGGAGAACTCATACTGAAACACAGGTAGGATAACAAAACATTTACCTATCAAATACATAAAAAATATATATATATCAAGTCATCAAATATAGGTAGTATTTATCTAATACCATACCCATTTAGAACTGCAAAACATGCCGCACAGATCACATAAAAACTAATATGATACATTCATTATGCTCTTCTCATGCACCTGGTTTAAATGATATTATTTTCAAGCTCACCTTCCTGCCACAGCAGTAGCCCAGGGCCTGCATCACAGGGTCAATCTCTGCCTCAAACACCTCGGCGAGCTTTGAGCAGTACTTGTAGACACGAGACGTCTTGCGGTTGTAGAGCCAGGCATTATTAAACATCAACCAAACATCATCCACATACTGCCAGGGCTCTTGGTATTGACCCGTATCGAGCTTACGCTTTATTGTAGAGAGGTCTATAGGGTTCTTCACTATGTCAAAGTAATCCTAAGTGTGAATAAAAATTTCAAATAAAAATATTGTAAAGTAACACAGGCTGGACATGCTGCATTCATGGTTTTGATATACAACATACTGGGATGCCCAAAAGGAGTGGATCCACTGGCTGTCTGAAGGGTAAAGACTCTGGGTCCTGTCTATACAAAGACTCCAATGTCGGCATCAGAGCCTGCCTCAACTCCTCTGGTTTAAAAACTGTAAATAGTAACAAAGAACAATTACTTTCTTTAAAGCCTTCCTGGTGAACCCCCTCATAGGCTGAAGTAAAGAACACAAACTTTTTTTCCGTGATTGAGAGGGCGAGGATGAAGTGGCACTGTTTGCTCCACTCTCTTCTTCATCTTTGGGTTCTGTCTTCATTTCCGGCTTTTTCTCTTCCACCTCCATCGCTTCCAGCTTCTCGTCAGTCTCCTCCTTCTTCACTAACATTGAACTAGCCTCATCTAGTGTCTGAAAGCAGGAATTATTCATTTTTAATTGAAAATATTTGGATGTAATGTTGTGATGTAACGTTCCAAATAAATAAAAGGCAAATGAAATATCATCATCATGATTAGCCAGGCTAACCTCCATCTTGGGCTCTATTTTGCCTCCAGCAGCCTCAAACTCCTGTTGTTCATTGTGTGCCTCAGTCTTCACCTCCTGAAGAGGCAGGTCTGCAGCGACATGGGGCGGGTGCAGGTCAGCACTTGCAGCTGAGGCCGGGGTGGGCACCCTGTTGTCCAGACTGGCTCCTGGCTGGGACAGCTGAAACACAGCAAAGGGACAAGTGAATTGTGGAGGCAGAAAAACAAAAACCTGTCCGTTTCAACAATAAGAGCTCTGCATGCAGGGTGGGCACTAGAACACAGATGAGGAGCTTCCATGTTTTATTGCTCCCTGAAGTATTCTGATGAACACTAGTTTAAATGCAGTTCTACACAGGTGTGATAGGGGATGGACAGTACATGGCAGGGATGGGAGTCTGCAGGGGAGCGGAGTATGAGGGCATGCGGAGGGTCTCAATCTCACCGGAGTGGTGGGGGGCGGAGCCTGGGGGGCCTGCGTCTGTGCTGCTGCAGGGTGCTCCGCCTGGGTTTGGGGCTGGGTAGGGCAAGGTGGGGTGGCACCCTGTACCGGTGCAGGAGCGGGGAGGGTGGGGGTGGAGCTGCGGCTGGAGGGCTGGGGGAGCGACAAGTTAGTAGCTGCCCCAGCCGTAGAGGCAGCAGGTGGAGGCGTGGAGTGCAAAGGGGTTTGGGAAGAGGCTAGCTGAGAGCCCAGCGAAGGGCCAAGTGCATTCATGGGAAGGTTAGCACTCTGCTGCTGCTGGAGAGAAGGACATACACAAGGGACGGACGACACACAAGACAGGCACACAGTCAAAAAGTCAGACAACACCACACAGATTGAGATTAAGACAGTCCCACTTGATTCTGGTTAAAAATTATTAGAACAATTAGTGTTTAGAGTGACTGGGAAATGAACTTGCTTGACCGCAGTTTAAAAAATGGCTAATCTCACCTGGGTGACAGCAGCCTGTGCCTGGCCCATGCCAGGTCCCACAGTCACATTCATGGATCCTGGAGCAGCAACAGCAGCAGCTGGGGGGAACTGATTCTGAGGCAGAAACTGGCCCTGGTTTGTATTCTGCCCTACCATGTTTGCAGCCCCATGAGTGCCCATCATGCTCTGAGCTGGGGGCACTCGGGAGGGAGACATGCCTCTCTGTTAAGAGAGATCTTGGGTTAACACATGGACCATGGTGATGAAGGGCACCAATCATCTGAATTGATGCTCGTTTTAAACTTACAAGTCAGCTATTCTAAGAATAAAATTTTTAGGGTTAGTGGCCTACATCACCTCTGTCCTTACCGGTGGAACGGTCATGTTCATTTGTTGTGGGTGATTCATTGGTGAGGCTGCCCGGGCTCCCATTGCTGCTTGGGGTATTTGAGCGTTTGGTAGTGCCATATGGTTAAACTGGTTCATTCCTGTGAACCACATATGAATATTTCACAATGGACAATAATTACAAATATGTTCTATGTTCTATATATCTTTGAAAAATAACTAGTATCTTAATCACATCTTACCCTGTGACACCTGCATGCGATTCATTCCCATCGGATTTGGCAAATTGGGCATTGCAACAGGGCCATCTAAAAGTAAAACAATTTTAAATGCTTTAGAGGAGCAGAGATTTGAAACGCTCTATCTTCAGCACTGACACTTACTCTGAGGTCTGACACCCAGGGCATTTGGCTGGGGAAGGCCAGGCTGCTGCGCCGCTCCTGCAGCCATAGGAGACTGGTTGATGATTTGCTTCAGTTGCCTAGAGCGTCTCTTTTCTTCCAATTCTTTTTGGATTTTATAAATTTTCTCGGCCAGAAAGTGATAATATTCATCCTAAGAGAGCAATACAAACAAATAAGTGGATTGTAAAAACATCAACAACAATAAACAGCTATTTAAAAAGCCTACCCTGCTATTTGCTGTCTCATACATATCACCCTCCACTTTCCTTGCGTAGGCCACCAGGTTTTCCATTCGCCTGTCCTTCAGAGCTGCCGGGTCTGGTGTCGGAAATATGGCTTGTACTCTGTTAACACAAAGCAACACAAAATTGAATACTAAATGCACTTAAACTTGGAAACACAATAACCAACCCCTGGAGCACTCACAGTTTGTGGACGAGGTGATTACGCAGGTCCTGAGTCACATGCTCATGCCAGGCCTTCCTGATGCCTGTGGTGGAGGGGGCTGCTGTGGGCAAGTTTCCCATAGAACCTACACTAGACCCATCCTGAAGCAGCTGACTGAAGAACGCAAATAATATATAATATATTGACAGTATCTTATCTATTGATATTTTACATTATGTTCATGTATGTGATGTATATTGCATGTCTTCTCCTACAAAAAAAAAAACAAAACTGGTTACTACTTACTTGTTAGTGTTGAGCGCATTAGGGAGATTTTCTGTGTGCAGGTTAGTCTGTTCAGAAGTGGTCACACCCATTGCTGCAGCTCCAAGAGAAATCTGGTTACCTAACATGAATAGAGAAGAAATTAGAATATTTCAGCAGTCATTCAAATTAAGGGTGGTATGGGATATAGTGATAGAAATAAATATAATTGTATATATATATATATATATATATATATATATATATATATATATATATATATATATATATATATATATATATATATATAATATATATATATGTTTATCATTACTGCTTTCAGTAGCCTTCAATGCAAATTCCCACATGCTTCACTACTGATTATAATATAAAATTATTTTACTAAACCTGAAATTATACTCTTTTCTCTCAGTTTTTCAATAAGTATTTATAAAATGTAGCACAGATGATCAAATGTCAAATAAAATATTTCTAAATCTGTTAGGTTTGATGTCCGAACCGTGTGCCATGGGTCTCATCTGCTGAAGCTGCTGTTGCTGAGCCTGTGCATTGGGGGCTGCCGTCTGTCCCGGACCGTGGGCTTGCTGGATCTGTGCCTGCCCTGTCGTCTGACTGTTGTAGGTGAGTCCAAGTGCAGCGTAGGCTCTCTGCATGGAGCTGGGGTCGATGGGTGCTGAGGTATTGATGGTGGGAGCGCTGGGCTGACCTACTCCTACTGATGACATGGGGTTTTGGAGGCCTGTGTTGGGGGAGCTCAGCATGGCTGCAGATAGAGACCAGGTTTAAGATTGAGGTAGTGAGTGAGTGGAGTTGGAGGTCTGCACGGACATTACTAAGGTGGTAATTTTATTTACCATTACATTTATTCTGTGGTGTTACAGGGTCATCTACTTACGCTGCTGAGTTCTTTTGTCACTGGCGTTTTTCAGCGGGAGACACACAGGACAGTCATGCCGTGTACAGTTTTTCCAGTGAGAAATGATCTGTCTGGATGATGCACAATGGGCAACTGCAGAAAAACAAAGCAAAAGTGTGATAATATTTGAATATCATTATTACTGGACAATCTGAATAGTTCCTAATAGTAATAATAATTCCTTCCTAATTACCACCAAAAAGGAAGCATACCTTGGCAGGACTTGCCAGCCTGACAGTGGGTCATGTGGTTAAGGACGTTCTTCATGGTGCGACAGTGGGGCAGGGCACAGGCCCTCACCTCCCCATTGGCCTGCTCTCTGCGCTGGCATTTGTGTGCATGGAGCAGCAGGACCAGCTGCTGCTGGATGAGCTTGCGTTTCTCGGGGTCAGCGGTGGGTCCAGCCGAAGGCACTGCCACTCCCCCGCCCCCCGTCAGAGGCAACATGGCCGCCTGCTGAGGCTGCTGCTGTAGCACAACAGAAAGGTTTGTTATAAAATGGGACAGCATGTGACAAAGCAATATCAGTTTGTAATTCCACATTGTTCAAACAGAATAATCATGCATAGGTTCAAGTGTGTTTGGTCATCATGGTACCCCTGAGAAAATTTGTGAAATCAGGTGTCCAGTGCGATATCTGGACCGATCTTGTTGATCGTGGGGAAAAGTTGTGATATCATCAATTGATACAAAGCCTGTCTCATGTTTGGGATCAATTCTGTCAAACATGTGACCAACACGAAATACAAATTATGTACCTCAGAAGACCTCAGCCTTGAACATGACCATATCGCTCCCTTCTATCATTCACCAACCTTTACAAGCGCAAAACACTGCTGGAATGTAGCAATAGCGTTCACTAAGGCTGCTCCTATATATCGCAATCAAAATTGTGGTAAATATAAAATTATAAAGAGTTGTGTCTTTTTTTATAGACAAAAAGTGTCTTTTTTTATAGACAAATATTGTTCTCTCTGTAGTTGGTCTTACAGTTTTAAATTCCTGAATTCACTGAAGCTGATGGTTGAAAACACAAAGCTGTTCTAAAACACATGAATAGGGCATGATTTGCCTTTTAGTTCAGCTGTCAAATGTTTGAATCTCTATCAGATATCTTAGTTGAACAGATTTAAAAAAAAAAAAACAAAAAAAAACAAGAGCAGATGAAGCCCCTAAATGTGAAGTTAAAAAGTGAAGTGGCCCATAATTTCCAGTCAGAGTGGTGTTCTTATCAGTGCTGGGCAGGTTACAAATTTTAATTGTGATTAATCGGGATAAACTGCACATTGAACCAAAACATAGCCGTAGCAAATCATCCTATCTCTAAACCTCATTAATTTCAAACAGGTAACATGGGATGTAGGTCTGTCAAATGTCTGTTAGCAATCCATTCAGCATGCATGAGAAAAATATAATCATATTTCAAAAGTGTGATTGACCACTATTCAGGACACAACCATTTGTAAACCACTCACCATGTTTGGCACACTAGTGACTGCAGCTCCTTTGAGTTCATTGGGAAAGGATGGTAAACTGTTGGTGAGGGCCTTGTTCTGGAGCTGCCCTGGACCTGAAGCAGTCTGTCCATAAGACTGGGCTCCGAACGGGGCCCCATTACTACTCAGACCCATCTGGAAAAAAACATTACAAAAAGGTACATCTTTCATGCCTGGGATCAAAAACACACACTTCAATACTAGTACAGGTACTAGTACTAATACTAGTGTGGCTTTTTGCAGAACCAATGAGCACTAAACCAGTGAAATAAAGTACGTTGATAAATGATAAGTGACCAATGAGCTCCTTTGTTTTATATGTGCCAAAATTAAATCTAAAATTGTACAATTGGCCAGGCTTGAGATGCAATGGAGTGCATGGGGGCCGATAACACACTATATTAAAAAACTATATAAAAAATACAAAAATTATCATTGTCAATTTACAGAAATTTTTCGCCAATCAATCTAGTTTCTTAAATACTTCTTATGCACTTGATGGTAACCAAGAGAAGATCCATCATCTCATATTTTCTGAACTGTAACTCCGTAACAGCTCACAGCTTTAGTTACAGAAAACAGTATAAATGTATATAATAGAACACCGCATAACGTTATCAACTTAATTAAATATAGGGTCCATAGAAGTACGAAATGACTATTTAACGACCAACTGTCAAACATTTTACCTGCTGTGTGGAGCTACAGCTTTTCAAGGGGTGTTACTGAAAAAAGTGATGTCCAAGTAAAAAAAAAAAATCTTAACCATCACTAATAATTAATATAATAACTATAATGACAACCAAAATGACAGGAGAAGCTAAGCCCACCTAGCCCATCAACATCACTCGTCCTTACTTGCTTTGATATTTTTAGAATGTATCTTGGCACTACAAAAAAGATGTGCCAATATATCGCAACAGTAAGAGTACAAGACCTTATTTACATGATTAGCATAAGACAATTAGCAAAATTACCCAATACCAATTTTTATATAGTTTAATCCGAATTTTCCGAATTTGAGGAACCAGGTCAGGGATCACTGATCTTGAGTGTATTTTTTAACTTTAACATAATCTGTTTACTCTTTGCTTGTTATTGAGCATGTGTATCAGAGCCCAACTTTAAATGCTCTTGTAGTCTGATCTAAGATAAAACTATAATTAAAAGTGAACTTCAGCGCAGTTTAGGCCAGCAACAAAACTACTGCTTGTTTTTATCAAAGTACGGAGAAGGGAGGATTGTCCCATAGACAGAGGCCACATGGACTGAGCTGCTGCTTGTCAACATGCTGGATTATATTCTTTTTATGGACGATTATTTTGAATCAGGATTAAAAGGACACTTGTGAAGACTTGTGATCTGAGACGTGCCTATATGTGTGGTGAGTACTGAAAATGTATTGGTTTTGGAGCTACTTTTCGTTATTTCCTATTGGTTAGTGCTTAGCTGCTGTAAACTATCACACGTAAATAGCCTGTTTTCTCTTAGCTCCTGTCCACACGACACAGAGTGGAGAAGTCTGAACGCTGGCGTTGCACTGTCGTGTGGATAAGCAAACCGCAGCTTTTGGAAAACGATGATATTGCGACCCCACCATAGCCGGGGTCCTTCAATGTAGTGATTATTATCATTGTTAACAGCGCCACATATAGGTGTGGTATATGTATTACATCGTTTTAACTCAATGCTCCGTTGTCATCTGGAAGTGGATATTTATTGATCTGACACGTTTGTGGACGTAAATTTTTTTCAGCCCATAAAAAAATAAATAAAATCCAGGAGCATTGTCGTGTGGACGTAGCCATAAACTGGTTTACTGTAAAGTGACTAGAGTGGCTGTATACATTACTGGACCTGCATTGATATGTAAATTGCTGTGAAAAGAGGTGCGAATGGCCCGCATATACAAATATAATTAATTACTGCAGCTTGCAAGCATCTAGGCTAACCTCTAAAGGCTAAGCGGTAATTGTTTACTTTGTTTACTAGAATGTCATGCAAAAATGCCATTAGGTATACCCTACTGTCACTAAATGTTTGTAAAATCCTTCAGTCGTCCATGGCAAAGGAGAAATTCAATTTGTCAAATGGACAAAAGTTTTTCTGAACTAACACGTTTCACAGCTCAGCTGCTTCTTCAGGTCTTGTCAGATTGCTGGTGGACAAAGAAGCATATAGTTCAATATATTGTGACAGCCCACAATATTACTGTCAGAACTTCAATGGTACGATATCACAATATTTTGGTTATTGTTACATCCCTACTTCATTAAAAGATGTAACAGTGGACCCCAGTCTGCCGTACATCTCCATCTCAAAGCCACTAACCACTCCTTTAAGGATAGTGAGGTACAGATCTTAGCCAGAGAAAATAAATTGAGGTCCAACCTAAATCAAAATAATAATATAACTCAGGCACAGTTCCCACTTAGGGCCTGTACACATGATGTTTTTTGGTCAAAACAGTGAAGTTTGTTCCAGGGTTCCAGAGTGGAGAAATCTGAGAACGCCAGTGTTGCGTTGTTGTGTGGACAAGCAAACGGCAGTTTTTGGAAAACGATGACGATGCAACCCCATCATCGCCAGGGTCTTCCGATGCAGCGAAGGCTGCAGCCATCGAACTACACAAGCATTGTCGATAAAAAAACCTAGCTAACAAACAGAACCTGTAAACAAGTAGGTGTGTTTGAAGCTAACTACACTGAAATTCCCTTCAGGCAGATATAAGGCAGTGTCAACCAACAAACTGACCAGAACTGAAGAAGCAGCTTGGATGAGCTGCAAAAGTATTCAATCAAAAAAAAAAAAAAACAACTTTTGTTCAGTTGACAGAATTTAATTTCTCCTTCGTGACAGTAAATAACGGTAAAGTGGTACTCTAAATAAACCCAATTTAAGGAGCCAAACAAGTTTTATAAATCAGTTGAAGATTAACAGTGAATTTTCAAGTCCCCGGGGTTTGGTCCAAATGAGCTCAGATTTGACATGTCACATCTACAGACATGAACTCACAAAAATCAATTTTTTTTTAGATACTCCTTACGTTTTGCCCGTAGCTCGCCGGCAAAAAACGCCTTCATTTCCTGTTTTTTCGGTGACCTGTCACGGCCACAGGCATTGGCCTAGAGAGCTCAAATTCAAATCACAATTGTGTAATCCAGGTCTGAATGTAATGAAATATGAAATCTAATAAAAGTGAACTCTATAGCGCCCCCTACCACAGACATGACATGTCAACATTATTGGATTTGTACCAAATTCAGGAATAAGGTCTATGCATGATTATGAGCAAAAAAATATATAACGGACATGGTGCATTTTCCGCTGTTGGCCAGAAGGGGCGCAATGACTCCTAAAAATATTTAAAGGTACATTATATAATGTGTCTAATGGATGAGCTGGCGGCCTGGGCGGATGTCGGGAAGAGAGGGTGACGTGCCGGAGCGGTCGCGAGTCTCCAGCGGTCGCATGGGGGGGCGGTGCGCCGGGGCCAGGGCCACCATTGCTGCGCGTGGCTTTAATTATTATTATTATTATTATTGTCAATCAGACCCGCCCCAAGAGAGTGGGAAGGAAAAAAAAAGTTTCTTCAGGTCTATGTGACCTCGAGGAGAGCATGAGGGTTAAGAAAAGTCATGTAACCAACATGGCTTTTGTCATTTGGTGTGGCTCATGTCATGTATGTTTAGAGCATGGCGTGCAAGGCTAAAGTTGCTGTGTCTGTCACCAATGGAATCACAGAGAAAAGAAGTTCTGATCTATTCTTCCGTTTGGGATCAATTTGATCGGTCTGAAGAGGCGCTTCCTGCAGATCTGCTGAAAGCATTTTATTATTTTACCATCATTTTCACAACAATTCACCTTGTCATAGAATGAACACAGTGTCAACACGCAACACGGAAATGTGTTACACACCTTGACTCTCATGTACCATCACCAATAACTACTCCAGATGAAGCAACTGAAGTATAACACTTGTGACCATTTTGTGAAATATTAAATCAAATGAAACAGTGACACTCTAATAAGGAGGCCATTTCAGTTACACACTAGTCACCCCGGTGTGGCTTATTACCACAGTCAATGGTGGTAGACCAGACTGTGCCATGCCGGTCCAGGCTGTATCCCCATGGGCTGTTGACATCATTCCAACAGACAGATAAAAAGCCCCAGCTGAGAGGAGCAGAGACTGGCAGCCTTTCAACACAGCTGAGCGGGCCGACACGCATATTTGCCCCCCTTCTTCAGTCTCTGGTCCAGCCCCCTGCTCTCTTGACACACTCCACACAGGCGGGACACTGGCCAACTATCTTGTCACAGCTCTGCTGTCAGAGCAGATTATTCAGCAGGGCCTTCCTCCTCCTTCTCCTCTTCCTCTGCCCCTTGTAATTCTCACTGATTAAGTGGTTAACAATACCTGCCTCAAGAGTGACAATGCAGGTAGCTGTATTCTGAGCCATAGACCAATGTTTGAATGCAGTAAGAGAGCACCCAGCAGAGCAAAAAGATGTTGGTTAGTGGCGGCTGGTGATATAAACACTAGGGCTCAGCGTTTGTTTTGTATAGTACAGTTGTATTAACCAAAAAGTAGCTTGGCAACTTACTTATTTGCAGATTTCCTCCCTGGATTGTTCATCTCGAGTTCTGTGGGTTGCAATGAATGAATGGGAGTTCCTGCAGCGTTATAATATGTTTATGGCACAGTTCATCTTAAAGCCAGAGCAGACTGTCCTGCTACAGCAGCAATGCTAAACTCCTCTAGCATCTGCCTCTTTTAATAAAAGTTCATCAAAGCTCTTCTAGTGCACATATTTGCCTCACCTGGTGTCAGGTGTAATGTGAGACTGTCCCTATGTTTTGTGGAGTTTGTCTTTGTGCTGTGACTGTGGAGTTGAGCGTAGGGGGTTTAGGGGACACTCCACAGGTGTTTACAGGGTGAGCTGTTGCTGCTCTGTGCCATAATAACATGGTCACTTTGAGATGTGGATTATGGGCTGAAGATCTGATCACTCTCACACACATTGCTCAAATGCATTGGACGCACAGATGTGAGGATCTGACTGGTCAGAATTCTCTCATAGACTCTGAAAGGAGCCAATGGGCTATTTTCAAATCGGCCCAAGCAGCGCAGTCACGTACTTTGAAATGCAGAGAATTAAGAAACTATATATTAAGATATATTTTCTTGTGATTTGTTATTTATAGTAAAATGTATGTAATATTTAAAGACTATTGCAGAGCTATCTCAAATTTTAAATGTTAAATTGTTTTACAAACTTGCATGATTGATAGGGAGGGCAATGCCCCATCACCCATTATGGACCAGCCACCACTGATGTTAGGGCTGAACACATCAATCAAGTAAATTAAGAAATTTGATTAGTGCTTTAAATGGACAAAAAGCTGGTTCTCAAATTTTTCATGGTTGGCCATGATAAAATAAGTAAAATGTGATCTTTTGTGATTTTAAGTGACCCTATGATATTTAATGTCTTATTAAAACTACCATCTGCTGTATTTAAACAGTATTCTGGGGCCTAACCTGGAGAATGCTGACCTAAACCTCTGCTATGTATGCTGAATTAACATAAAAAAATTATTTATAAGTAACATAAAAAAGGGGACCAACTGCAGAGAGCGTATCCACGACCTGTTTGAGGCTTTACCTCCGCTAATATAGGGGTGTGCAAAAATACTGAAATATCGATATATTGTATCGTTTAATGTGATGATACAGTCTCGATATTGGGGCTGCTATATCGATATATTGCCAAGAGTATTTTACAAAATAATTTTGTTACAGCACTACAGTTTCGTTGCTTGTTTAGAGGTAGGAAACTCATTTATGCAACACATTTGACATTTACATACATACAGTTTTGAAGATTAAAATTGCCGTGTTTTATATTAACTTTGCAGAAGAAGTGGTTTAACAAAGACTTTTAGTATCACAACCATGATTTAGCCATTATTTTTCATTGAACTGTATTGAATCAATTTGAAATATATCATATTGAATCATACTGAATCGAAAGCTCACTGTACGAGATATGTAGCGCCTGCAGATGTGAGCCCCACATATGTGCGCCCCGCAGACTGTGCTGATACACCTTGTGAATTGTAAAAACCTGTAAGAGTCCAAAATATTTTCATAGCTTCTGCTAAGCTTCAGAGGCTGCTGTGAGCATCAAATTAAGACACAGCATAGTTATAGTGGTATTGGCTCTTGTTATCGGCAGCATATTGACAACTGCGAGTACTAGCACCTGGAATCAGACAGATATGGACTGGTATTGGTGCATCCCTATGCAAGACCAACTGAAAAAATATAAATGGTTGATTTGTGTATGCTGAATTAATTTGCATTATCTATTGCAAATAATTGCTCATGTTTCTACATTTTGTTCAATGCAAGCTATTGATCTAAAATTATACTGGAATAAGTCAATTTACTTTTGCATCAAAAAGATTTTTTACCCCCTAATCTGCCCCCATCACTGAAGCATTTCATGGTAGCAAGCTGCTACTGACAGTTTATTAGCACAGCGGCCAACAACAAGATGTATGACTCCATCAGCATACAACTCATAGTAAGCTAATCATGAGGAGAAACCCATTATAACATGGTTAGAGGCTCATTAAAAACTATTTTGCTTAATTTGATACCTTAAAACTGGGCTCCCTATCTGACTCACCTTATTTAAGTTGGCTGTCTGCTGTTGTGCTCCCAGAGCAGTATGGGCTGCCATCTGCTGCCCCTGAGTGAGTGTCTCTGCCAGGGCACTTCCAGCTCCTCCAGGGGGTGCTGTCTGCATCGTGGGGCTCTGGAAGTGCATGCCTGTGCCCCTGCCTCTGCCCACCCCAGGGCCAAGTCCACCATTCATCACTTGGCCCTGTTGAGGCAGAGCTCCTTGGGCCAAGAGGCCTGGATGAGTCTGGTTATTGTTCATCATAGCTTGGTTAAAGCCCATTGTTGTGGTGTTATTGTTGTTGTTCTGTCCTGCTACTCCTGTTGGCGTTGGAGCTTTCTGTGCCTGAGGAGATGTGTGGTTGTTGGGTGAGCCTTGGCCAAGAGGACTTTTGCCTAATGCTGAGGCGAGTTGCGCCCCCATGTTACCAGGCTGAGGACTTGCCGAGTTCAGGCCTGCGCCAGCCATGTTAGTGGTGCTCCCACGAAGCAGTTCTGAGAGCTGCTTGTGCTTTGCCGCTGCATCAGGAACAACACTCCCCCCTGTGGTTCCACCGGGCGCTCCACCATTGGAAGGCATTCCACCCATCAGGCTAAGATCTCCGTTAGGAATCAACTCATCTGGCAGGTCATTCTCGAGATCATCCCAGGATAAAGAGCCCAGATCTACAAAAGAACACAGTAATAAGAAAAGCCCATAGCCATTATTACAAGCATGACGTGTGCTTTTGTGTAGGATGTTGGGTTGGGACATATTCATTTTTTTCATACAGTCAAACCTCCTCCAATTATTATACCACAATTGCCTACTTATGAGGGGTGGGACAAGACAATACAAGACACGAGATTGAGTACACAATAATAAGGTGAGATTCTGAACTCTGATCAATTCACTCAATCAGTAGATTAAAACTGAATCTCTGTCGCTCCAGCTTCTCTCCTCTCCCCCACTTCTGCTGCTGTACTTTACGCACATGCATGGTGCTGAGAGGGACACAGAAAGAGGAGTGCTTCTCTCCTTTTGTTTGCATCAATATCATACTATCCTGGTGAACTTAAAACAGGCAAATACAGCTACAAGTATCTATGTGAAGGAGTCTTTTAGCTAAATCTTATAAAAAAAAATGACTTTCCTCTCATGCTTGTGCCAAAATGTAAAGAATTTTGAAAATTGTTTTTCCCATGTGCAGTCTTGGGGGAATTTGGTCTTGCAAGATCTTGTCCCATCCCTTCTACCTACCCAACTACTAAAAGCTAAAACTGCTTTAAAGTGAGTTTAAAAATGACACAAATATGGATCGTGTGCCTAAAGCAGTGGCCAGTGCTGAGGCTTATATTCAACCATCTTTTTCTTTGAGTAAAAAGGCCAACAACAAAAAGGCAACACTGCACAGCTCTACTCGCTTCCCCCATGACTTTCGCGTAAGTTTTATAATGTGCTTAAAGAATAGTAGTAAAACAAATGCACACAGTAACCTTCGTAAACTAACTCCACGCTGTATCTATGGAGAGGACAGGGGCAGGGACTGTAGTAATTGTGATTAAAAAGTGAAGCTAAGGACCTAAGTGCTAAGTGCTCCCTAAGATTAGCCTAACATGAAGGAAGAGTATAGAACACTTTTACTCAAGCTATATATAAAGTGAATCAACATATGAATAAGAGGGGGCATTGAAAGAAATTTAGATTGTCCACTTAACAATATATCATTTATCTACAGGCCAGATTTGTTTTACAGATGAGTTTTGCTTGCTTGCTTCCTGCTCAAAAATAAAACATCTATTTGGTGGCTATATTACATTTATACATTAATCAAAGATTCATAATATTAACTAGAAAAAGATGCTATTTATATTAGTTTATATCATGCACCCCCCAAAATATTCTGCTTGTCTGCTTGTAGTCAGGGGCCACTGTGCTCCTGGGAAAAAAAAAAAAAAAAGTTGATTCTGGAGTAGGGATGGGCATTCGATGAAATTTTCTTAATCGATCGTCGGGATTAATCATTAACGTTTTTTATATTAAAATTTATAATCATTATTATTACTATCTGCACTACTAATGTGCATAAATAAATTCAACTTTACGACATATAAACCGTATCGACTCTAGAGCCACATCAATCCATTTGAAATTATAATGTGTTTAATTCAGTTTTGCGCAACTCTCACAGAAACGAAACTTAAAACCGCATCGCTAATTTGCATAAGCTCAGCGAAGATAAAACTACAGCTCTTGTGTCGCTGATGCGGTCAACTTCTGTCAGATTAAAAGACATGACTCGGTGGAATACAGGTTAGTGTGACCATATTTGCGTTTGTCAAAACCAGGACACCGTACAGGGGCAGGAGGTGGGGACTCGTCATCGACATTGCGCGACTCTCACCTGGCAAAACTTTTTCCCACTGGACACCGAAACATATGGTTCCTGCTTTGTACACTGTCCACATGGACTCCCACTTGTCCCGAACGCAACGGAAAGCGTGGAATTTCTTGTACAAATCATCGTTAAATACACATTTGTGCTTTGGTACGCTGCAGACTGACCGACTGTTTGTGTTTGCTCGCTCCTTCTGAGTGCAGAGAGCTACATGTACAGACCCCTGTTTGGTCACGCTACGCACAGCAACCTGCATTCGGTTTGTCAATTAAAATGAACGTAATCGATGAAATTCTTAATGATCAATTATCGATTAATCGATTAATCATGCCCATCCCTAATCTGGAGTAGGGATAGGCATGATTAGTATATTAATCAATAATTGATCATTAAGAATTTCATCGATTACGTTCATTTTAATCGACAAACCGAATGTAGGTTGCTGCGCGTAGCATGACTAAACAGGGGTCCGTACATGTAGCTCTCTGCACTCAGAAGGAGCGAGCAAACACAAACAGTCGATCAGCCTGCAACATGGCGAAGCGCAAATGCGTATTTAACGATGACTTGTACAAGAAATTTCACAATTCCCATTGCGTTTGGGACAAGTGTGAGGCCATGTGCACAGTGTACAAAGCAGCGCATGTGTTTCGGTGTCCAGTGGGAAAAAGCTTTGCCAGGTGAGAGTTGCGCAATCACCTTACACCCCCGTTACAGTGTCCTGGTTTTGACAAACGCAAATATGGTCACACTAACCTGTATTCCACTGAGTCCTGTCGCATCAGAGCACAAGAGCTGTTTTTTCTTCGCTTAATTTATGCAAATTAGCCATGCGGTTTTAAGTTTCGTTTCTGTGTGAGTTGCGAAAAGCTGCATTAAACACATTATAATCTCAAACGGGCTGATGTGGCTCTAGAGTGGTTACGGTTTATATGTCATAAAGTTGAATTTATTCATGCAGATTAGTAGTGCAGATAGTAATAATAATGATTATAAATTTTAATATAAAAAACGTTAATGATTAATCCCGACGATCGATTAAGAAAATTTTATCGAATGCCCATCCCTAATCTGGAGTCTTGGATAGCAATATAACAGCCAGGCATGATTAACAGCTCAGTTTAGCTTGAGCAGTGTCATGGCTTCTCTTAAAAAGGGGTAAAGGCGCCTTTTCCTCTCAACACAGTTGTCCGATACATTTACGGCGTCTCTGTAGCAGAGTTGCAGAAACTAAAGTAGCCCAGAGTTTCAGACACAACAGTTCAGTAACAAGCCATGTAGTGGGATGGACACAAAAGACACAGCTGCCTTGTGTTTTGTAAAACTTAATCTCAGATTGATTTGTAGTCCTCTACATATCAATGTGGGATGGCAGAACCAATTATCAGAGTGTTTGAGTAAATACTTCCAAGTTGGTTGGTGGAGGCATCATGAACGCAAAACAAGGCGAGAAATCAAACTTCAGTTTGAGAGAAAAGCACAGGCATCTTTTCCTCCAAAAATGCACTAAGTAGGGCTGGGCGATATGGATCAAAAAATATATCTCGATATATTTTGCTATATCTCGATATACGATATATATCTTGATATATGTTGAAGAAAAAATAACCCCCTAAAACTGAAAACTGCAAAAACAAATCTGCCAAATTCCACAAGGTCTTTTTTTTTTTTATTGAAGTGTAAGAGGTCGGCAGTTCATATAGGAACATTTAAGATTACAAAAAACCCTAATTACATAAATAATAATTTAACTGTAAAATAAAAGAAATAATACATATTTCCTTCTTTTCATTCATAAATAAAACAACTCAACACAAGCTCATCTTTGCATCCCACAATCCACTGCAGATCAAACCCAACGTTTCCAAACACTATTGTACAAGTGACACTGCAGCAGATTATTAATTAAAATATTCTGCATAAATAAACTTTACATTGCTAAACTTTACAATATATAAAGCATAACGACTCTAGAGCCACATCAGCCCGTTTGCGATAATAATGTGTTTAATGCAGTTTTGCGCACGTGTGTTTACATTTTACAGAAACGAAACTTAAGCACATGGCTCATTTGCATAAACAGCGCACTTCTCCTGCAGCTCAGCTCGTTTAGCTTCTTTCGGGCTAAAGGGCGCGACTCAATGCAATATGAGGATGTGCTGCTGATAGTTTTGTCTGTAAATAGTGGAAAGGTTCGTGGTGCTTGAAGCTTTTCATTGGCACCAACTTTCGGCGTTCACGGCGATAGTGAGGAGTGAAGGAGACACGAGCGAACAAAATCAGGGAGGCGGGGGTGCGCGGAGGTGACGAGAGAGAAGATAAACAAGCGAAGCGGCAAAATCAAAATTTAATATAAGCATTATATCAATATATACGATATGTCGAGTTTAAAAACTATCTCGATATATTTAAAATATCGATATATCGCCCACCCCTAGCACAAAGCGCTTCCCTCTGCAGGTTTTTCAAAAATGAAATAGGTATATTTCCAACAAAATAGGCAGTAGCATGTTTGTCGGTGTCACCATGTTTGTTTTGTTCAGCCCTGACTTCCGGTCAAACCACAATGATGTCATGTGATTGGTCAGTAGTGGTGCGGGATCTATCATATGCAAACATTTCAGCTGGAGCCAAACACAATGGAGTTTGTGAACTCACAAAAATTCATCTTGCTTGCAAGGCTGCAGTTATTTAGTCTGGAAGCCTAACTTTCCTCATTTAACACTTGATGAAAACCAAGAGGTCTGCATAGTGTAGTTGAGCGATACGGAAATTATATAGAATACCGATACATTGAAAAAGTATGACAGTGTCACCTTCAACATGTCTGTTAAAAAAAAAATAAAAAATTGAATGTGCAAAGTTTCTATTTAACACAGCAGCTGGCAATTTACTTCACTATATGCTGTTAAAATAGCTTTCTTTTAACTTGAATAAATAATTACTCCACAAACATTGAAAACATAAGCGGTGCTGCAGAAACGTTACACAGCGCAGCTGAACACATCATCATAGCAGTGATGTGGACCGAGCGGAGTTGGATTCAGGACGTGGAGAGATCCTGATGTTATGAACTTGTGAGTCATGAATACATACTCTGTGAGGATGTACTGCTTGAATGTTCATTTCTTCATGCCCATTAAGGATAGAAGTGGAGTCGCTTGGGCAGGACACACTGGTGGGAGAACCAAATTCATAAACTCATGATCTAGAGTTTAAAGCGAGGCAGGAGCCTACAGGTACATGCGAGTGGACGGTAGAGAGATGCAAGGCTTGTTGGTCAATTAATGATGCATTTAAATCAGCCAAATTCTAAATGGTTCTTTAATAATTGTACTTTATTTGATCTAATTTACACACTGTGAATTTAAAGTAAATGGAAAAGTAGATAGAAAGGCAATAATGCAGTCTATCATATAATATTGTATAATTACGGGATAGTATGACAATATTAAATCTGCACTGTGCAGCTCTCCACTGTGCCAAAGGGGGCACAATAAGCAACTTTACTGTGGTTTATAAAGACCATAAGCTTATCTCTCCCTTTTCCCCTCATATTTGGACTGTCGTCCTCACGTTCACTTGTCTGTGCGTATTCAAATGCATGCCACTTCCTGGATTTGATCCAGAAGTCCCAACCCTTGCCTTCACAATTGCACAGAACCAGACCTTGGTCCGGACCACGGTCTGTGGGTGCATTCACATCGGACTTTGAACCAAACTAAACGGGGAAGTCCAAAAGTCTGGACCAAAGGTTGCAAGTGTGAAAGTACCCAATAAAGAATTAGTTACTTATATCATCTTCTTATCATTTAATTTATTAAAAACAGCATACTATTTTTTTCTACTACTAGCAGTCTGTTCATCTCATATGAAGTATATGGTTTCAGAAAAGCTAAAGAAATGTGCTGTACTTAAAACCTTTACTATCCTTTTTGAACCCTTACCCACAATATTCCAAACCAGCCTTCATCTGCACTTTCCTTTACCATTTCAAGTTGTATTTAAAACATTTTAATCTCATAACACCAACAA